GCCTTACCCTGAGCTCATCCACAAAGCATCGCAGCGATGAGCAGGTGGCAGTCACACAGATTGGGTAGAACAGGGGCACTCGTTGGTAACTTTGTGTGAAGAATATGGTTTTCCTCTCAATTCTGTTGCTAATGAAGCTTGAGGAGCCTGCCCTGAAAGGCCATTGCTGCACAAAGTACATTGCTGGGATGTCCTGCAGGGCACAGAGGCAACCAACAGGCCCTGCCCAAGCTGGGTGCCAACAGGTTGTGGCCCTACAGGGACTGCTTGGAGTATGGGAACAAGAAGATCTTGTTCAGCAGAGCTTCCCCAGGACAGGGAGAGCTGCAGTGTGGGAGGATCACTCCAGAAGTCACTTGCTCAAAGCACAATCCCTTGTAAATTAACAGAAGGGTTTCCATGTGCTGTAAATTCTGGGGAGCTTTGTTTGGAAGCCCCCAGTCATTCCCTGTGCATTCTGAGGGAAATTCAGGTGGTCTGTAATTCTTTGTTGCCAGCTGTGTACCAAGCGCAGGGTTTTACATTTGCCCTGTTGCTCATGAACCACACAGAGATTCAGAGGGGCCATTTTGCTTTATTTGTGATGTGGGCATGTAAACGGCTGGCAAGACCAGACCGCATCCCTCCCGCTCCCGTGTGCTGCAAAGGGTGAGCCTTGCTGGAGCAGCCATTTCTCTGACATGGGCAGGACAGGACACCACGCTGCAGGCAGGGAGGGCAGCTGACAGCAGCATCAGCTGAAATCTTCAGCTTTGTTCCCATCCCAAAAAGCACACAAACAACTCTCCCTTGGATTTCCATGAAATGAAGCTCAATATTCACAAGGTACTGAAAAGCAGAAACAAACAAAAAAGATAATGGAAGGGACCTGCTATTCCCCATGGCATCCAAAGCGACCTCAGCCCAACCCTTATGACCCCACGTCATTACCCACAACACGCCATAGGGGCACGGGAAGCCCAGCCAGCAGCACAGCCCTTCAGCCCCAGACCCTCCCTCACACCCAGCCAGGCCCTCCTGTCACAGTAACTCTGCTCTGTCACTTGAGTTTGTGTGCAGCCTATGTAATCACAGCAATTAGATACAACCGCTCTTAGCTGCATAGCTTAATTGCAACTAATGCACATCACTTCAATTAATTTTAATTATATGGAAAACGTGAAGAGTCTGTTATTCCATTGTCAAAATCGTTTGGGACAAACAAGATTAAAGTGCTAAATTTCATAAAGGGCCCAGTTATTAATTTTAACTTGCTAATGAACAAATGTGTCTCTGGGTTCTTGGAAGATGCGTTCCTACTCGGCGAGGAAGTGTTGTGGGTTTGTGGCAGAGAGATGCTCCCAACATTGCATGCAAAATGCACATCGCCCACTCTGCGCTCCCAAACAACACTTCTGCAGAAGTGGTTTCGTATTAATTAAAACTAACGGCCACTGCTGCCGAAATATCTGACAAAATACGTGTAGGCACGACATTTACTTGGAGTAAATTGTAGCTTATAATTAAGGCAATGATTTTTTTAAGACGTCGAAGTCTACCCCCTACCAGATCCTTTCTATTTAATCTTTGGAAGAAAATGTTTAATGTTCCCTGGGCAAGTTAGCAAAGTCTTATTTATGATAGGTACTATTTTTATCTGCTCTTATAAATACCACTCCCTTAGAAATAAAATGTTTCTGGAGTTTGCTAAATTAAAAGGGAAAGAAAACACTGAGAAACTTTGAGTCCTGTTTTCAAGCATAAAAGGGTTTATCTTATCTAGAGCAACTGGTACAGGATAACCAGCGTTATCTTATCACCACATATTGATGTCAGGGCTTAAAAGGACTTGAGGCTGTTACGCTACACGGAGCAGAACTCCTACACTGATAAACACGGAAAAAGCCGCAGTGCTCTAATCTGAACTACACCTCCTTTCTGCCCCAGACACACGTGAGAAGAGCCAGAAGCCCTTTCCTTTCACAGCACGCTGCTCCCAGCGCCGGGCCCAGGGCCTGTGGCCGCCTCCATCGGGAACAGCACTGCTGCCGGGCTGCAGGCAGGGCATGGAACGGCGGTGTGATGCTGGGGCTGGTGGGGCTCGGGGGAAACCAGGCCGTGCAGGAGATCCCTGCTGCATTTCTAACCCACGCAGCCTTTCTGTGGGAGTGGTGCAATGAGGCAAAGGGCGGAAATGGGGAATAAATGAGGATGTACAGTAGAGGTAAGCAGCGTGAAGGTTCTTAGCGAGGACCAAAGTACGAGGCTGAGGCAGTCACGCCACAGTTGTTCAGCATGCAGCACGTAGGACAGCCACATAATCTATGCACGAACTCAGATCTTGACACATCTCGCCTGCTTGCTCAATTCCAATTAAATTTGGGTGTATTAATCTCTCTATTTTTAATAAAAATTCACTCGTTCACTTTCCCTCACCTTCCATTTCTGCCAGCTGCAGATAAAACACCCAGCCAGCCCTCTGCTCGTTTGATCCTAAGGTGAAGCGATCAAACAAGCTTGCACCCTCACTGACAGATCACACAGAATGAGAAAGTGGGCTGCAAGGCAGATTAGTGAAATAGCTTCTATTACAGCTTGAAGCAGGGCCATATGCATTCTTGGCAAGTTTCTTTTACAATAAGCCCAACTTTCCTCCTTCGGATTTGCTGTGGTGCTGCAGTCCCTTTCCCTGGCACTCGGGATCACCCCTTGGTGCTGCAGCTCTGAAAGGATTGAGGTTGCACTCTACCACGAGCTGCATGGGCTGCTTTTCTTTCAGCAGAGCTGCTCCCTTCAGGTGTAGATGTCAAGGTGCATAATGTACAGCATGTGTCCTCTCCATGTTGCCTTGAGCTGACAGAGTGATTTTCAGCCGCACGGCAGCAGGGACACTGCAGCTGCAGTCCTGGGGACTGAGACCCTGCTCACTTTCCATGCTTTTTTTTTTTTTTTTTTTTTAACAAAAAACAGGAGGAAATTTTACCAATTAAATGTGCGGGGAAGCAGCAAGTTTGGATCAGACGCACACAGCAGCCGCCACAGCATGACTGCGCCGCACAGAGAGGCTGCGAGCTCTTCAGTAAGACAGAATTATCATAGCACAAGATTAGCTCAGATATCATAACGCACAGCTCCACTTCCAACAGCTCCCCACCAGGAAATCTCCGCCCATCCCCGCAGCTGAGATGCATATCTGGTTAATTGTGCTGGCCTGCCACTCTGCAGTGCTTTCTGTAGGCGGCCCAACTGAACAAACCTGGGCAGTGCAGGCATTCCCGAGCTGGGATGGGTACTCTGAAAGTGAATAAATGCAAGTCATGCAGTTCTGCTGAACCTGTGGTTTAAAGCTTCTAATTGCTAACTTTCATCTTTTACCGGCATAAATAATAAATGTGGCATGTTCCCCATTTTCCATCAGCACCACATTATTAAAGCAATAAAACAATTTCAAAGGTGTGGTTATCATGAGCTAATGGCACCTCCAGGGGATTGGTAACACCCCAGGAGACTTCTTCGTCTTCAAAAAGCCAGCACCCCCTGTCAGGCTCTATTAGCTCAACTCTGGGAAAGTGTGTGTACAGAGCTCCCTGCTTGTGCTCAGCCACTCTGTGTGCAGGACAGGGGAGGATTCCATCAGCAGAGGGGTGACCAGCAGGGACAGATTGTCCCCCTCTATTCTGTTCTTGTGAGGCCCCATCTGGAGTACTGCATCCAGGTCTGGAGCCCTCAGTTCAAGAAAGACTGTTGGAGAGGGTCCAGAGGAAAGCCACAAAGATGGTCACAGGCCTGCAGCACCTCTCATACAAAGACATACAACAAGCTGGGCTTGTTCAGCCTGGAGAAAAGAAGGCTGCGGGGGTGACCTCATTGCAGCCTTTTAGTACCTAAAGGGAGCCTACAAGCAGGAGGGGAGTCAACTCTTGGAAGGGGTTGATAACTGCAGGACAAGGGAAAACGGTTTTAAGTTGAGGGAAAGAAGATTTAGATTGAATGTCAGAGGGAATTTCTTTAGAGAGTGTGGTGAGGTACTGGCACAGGCTGCCCAGAGAGGTTGTGGATGCATTGCTCCTGGAGGTGTTCAAGGCCAGGTTGGATGGGGCCCTGAGCAGCCTGGTCTAGTATTGAATGGCGAGGTCGGTGGCCCTGTGTGTGGCAGGGGGTTGGAGATTCATGATCCTTGAGGTCCCCTCCAATACTGGCCATTCTGTGAGGTGCCACTACAGACACAGCTCTCAGCACCTCTCCAGGCCCAAGCTGGTGGGGAAGCAGGAGGTGCCCCAAGGGAGCCTGCCTGGCAGCATCACCCCATGGGGCTTCGCAGAGCTGTCTGGGAAGCTAAGCCTGCTCCCTGCTCACCACTGCTCCACAGATATCCTTCCCCTCTTGCTTCCCGACAGCTCCTAATCTTGGTGTGACATCACTGGGAATTACAGTTATAGTATCTACTGGAGTGGTAAGACTAAGCTGTTTAGCACATCAAAACAACAGTATTAGCAAACAGACCTTCATTTAAGGTAATTATGCACCAAGGAGACTGCCTTATCTTTCATCTCCTGTTTATTTTGCAAACAACCACCCAGATTCTTTAAGTAATACCTTCCCTGCTCTCAGTTATCAAATCAGGATGGAGGTGGAAGGCAGCTGAGCGCACTCAGCTCTACCAGCAGAAGGTGGGCAGGTGGGGGCTGATGAGGGGAGAGCTTCCCACCCCCACCTTCAGCCAGCCAGCAGCTGGGCTGCTACAGAGCACTCATCCTGTGGCACTTTGTGCAGCCTGGAGAGAAGATGGGGTTAGGAGAATGTGTGCTGTACTGCCTTGGTCCATAGAGGCTTCCAGAGAGTTCAGCAGAGCACAGGTGATTGTTAGTTGCTGTTGCAAATGATCACACTGAATGTTAAATTTCTGCAGTGCCTTTCTGTTGCTATCACTCCCAGTAAAGATAAAGGGGATAAGGGGGGGAGGATATGGAGAACAGCTGTGTGCTAAAGCACATTGACATTGAAGGTCAGTACCAGGTTAACAAGGCCTTCAATATTTCTGTCCCTTTCTATGTGAAGGGCACATGTGAAGCCAGCTGCAGTCCCTGGAAGGCACTGATGTGACCGTGGAGCACTGCTGTGCAACCACACCACCCAAAAAGCATGGTGGGAGCTGAGCTGCTTGATTCCATGCTCTGCTCAAAAACAACCAGGCACAGAGAGATCCTGGGAACATTTAAGTGTCTCTTTTCACCACAGCATGAGTGGGAAAATGTGACTCACATCACAGAGATGGTGAAGCAACAGAATTCCTGAGAGGAGCGCTGCAAACTGGATGGACTTTGTTGTGATGGCTGTGAGGAGCTCGCTGGTGGATCGCCTCATTGTAAAGGTGAGCTGCCTGCCTGCTGTGGGTGAGGGAAGCACAGCCAGCCTGGGCCCTGCAGGGCTGAGTTCTGGGGATGCAGGCTGTGCTTCCACCACAAGTTCAGCATATGGGTAAGATAGAACTGTTTAAATTCATTCGTTGTTTCACCTCTTCCTGTTGTAAGAGATGATATTCACAATTAGAAATCTGCTATTCCTTTGGCGGGTGTATTTATAGTGTTATGTGTATGAATTAAAGGACAAGAAATATTTTCCAAAGGTTACAGCCAAAAATGGAAGACTGGTGTTGTATGGACAGAAAATAGGGTGGAAATTATATATCCAACCAGTTCCCAAACAGGGTTCAGGAGTGGTCTGTAAGTTAGCATGAGCTCATATGTGGTAAAATAAAACAAATAGAAAGAGGAAAGTCTCATAATGTTCACAAGTTAATCCAACTATGACTGATAAGCAGAGCGACTGGGGGAGTTGTTTGGGGTTTTATAGCTTTTTCATGTGTGTCTGAAGGAAACATTGATTGAAATCCTCATGGATATCGGCACAGTCACTCAGATGAAGAAAAGCATGAACTGTAAACAAAGGGCTGCAAGAAATGAATGTGCAGCGCTACAGAGGGACGTCCAGGAACGTGTTATTCATTGGTAGACTAATAGAAAGAGTGAACTGGGATACCAGAGGACTTTGCTGACTGTGCTAAATGGGGAGAATCCAGAGGAACCCAGAGGAACAGTACCAAAAAAGGACCTAGATAAACTAGAAAGAACAAAATACTGAGATTTAATGTGGAAAAAACCTGTAAGTAAACCTGTCTGGGGAAAATTAATCCAAAACACAGATGTTCCACTGGAGAGAGAAATCTTGAAAGCAGTTGTGTTACAGCAGACCAGGAATGACAGGGGAACTGATGGTGAATCCCCGGCACAGCAGAGCACACTGCCTGTTCTGCAATGCCCCCACAAGATGCTGACTGGGGCAGCGTGAGCTGCACAGAGATAACGCACGGTGCAGGCAGCTGTGAGAGGTGCAGCCCAATTATGACCACTGTGGAAGAAAGACCTTACAGAGAGCTCAGTAAGGTGTGAGGTCAGAGATGAGCCCATAAGGACTGAAACAGAAGCACTGTGTGCTCAATAGCATGGCACGCTTAAAACCAAACAAATACCCAGAAATCTAACAGCAGGCCGCCTGGGTTGCAGAGGTCAGGTGTGCCAAGAGGCTGTCCATCATTTCTTGTCGAATTTCCTCTTAAATATCTACTTCTGACTGACAGACTGAGCTCCACACAAAGGCAGCAGCTGAAAAGGATCTGGCAGTGACTTTCTCAAGAATGCTTTGGCTTTTTCTTAAGACATTAGATGGAAAGTAATTAATGAAATGTCCAGGTACAAACTCTCAGAAATGTTAATCAGGACATGGGAAGGTAACTCTATTCTCTGCTGGGTGGCAAGGCTGCTGCAGACAGCCCAAGGATGCAGCTCAGATGGTGGTAAGGCTGGTGCTTTCCCAGCAGAGCTGTACATGGAAACACAGCCGTGCGTGGCTTGGACAACTCAGGCATGCAGCACAGGCACAACTCAAAGCCTGCTGATGGGGTTTGATGCCCTGCATGGCCTCCCTTGGGTGCTGGTGTGTCCCAGCAGTGGGTTAGGCTGGCAGCAGCATGAGCTCCCAACCACAGCAATGCGTGGCGTGGCAAACCCACTGCCAGCTCCTCTTTTATTCCCAGAGATGGATCGAATCCAGTTTGGGAAGAGAGGAGGCTGGTGGCCGCGAAGCCATTGGGAAGCATTTCTTTCCACGTTTTGTCTAGGAGACTCTTGCAGGGTGATGCCGGGAGGGATGCAGAGGGCGCGCAAGGACGCGGTGATGCTGAGCTGTGCCTGCGGGTACCCACCCCCCACAGGCTGCCCCAGGGCCGCGTTCCGAGGCTGCTGCAGACCCACATTGCCACCTAGTGCCAGAGGAGCAGGCCGGCCGCGGGCACCCAGCGCTCTCGCACCGCTCCCCGGCCGGCTCTTCCTACCGCCGCAGAACCTCCAGGCAAAGGGGGGGGTGGGTAAATCTTGTGCTGTTCTGCTGAAGACACAGAGCTGGCACGCTCAGCTGAAAGGATTCGCTACTGGATCCTGAGAACTATACCAAGCAACTGATGCAGCGCTGCTATTAAACTTGCACGGTGAAGCGGCCAGCTCTGATCAGAGAGAGCTCATGGCTTTCTGGCCCAGTACAGCTGAAGTTTGCCGTGCAGAGCAAGGTCATCAGCCCTTGTACACAGCAGGAAGGAAGGGGCAAAGCCTGAAAGTAAACATCTTCTGCACACATCTTGAACTTCCGTCAAGAGAGCTCATGGAGAAAGAGGTGCTCCAGCCAGTGCAGTCAGCTCCTCAGCCCGTGATGCTCTGAAGCTCGGGTTCATCAGGCGGCAGGAAGCAAACATGGGCTGCTTTGGTAGCTGGAAGTTAGCATGGGTCCAGAGGACTGGATGAACGTTTCACCTTCAGCCTGTTGAACGGCTGCTGCAACATCCACCAGGTGAAGCTGTGGCCCTGAAAACAGAGCATCCCTTTACTGAGGCAATGAAAACTTTAGCTTGGAGTGGTTACTAGAGGATCTTTCTCCTCCAATACCAGTATGGCTTTGAAATCCATTTGTTTGAGGCTCACTGTGCCACAACAGAAATCATAACTGCATTCTTCTGAAGTGTTAGCTTTTCATGACGTTCAGTCTCAGCTTCTGCACAAGGTGTTCAATACTGTCTCTCTGGTGTAGATTGAGGACCAGCTTGCTCCTCAGTATAATTCTGCCGAAGCCCATGCGTTTACACTGGGGATGAATTTTGTCCATAAGGTTTGTGATTCTTAGGCAGAGGCTTATTGACAGGCACAGTTCTGAAGACATTTACATGCAGTAAGGCTCATAAGCCAGCGAACATCTGTTCTCTCGTTAGCAGCCTCCACAGCATTTGCCCTGTAGGCAGTAATCTACAGGACAAGTTTCCCAGCACCTAAACTACTGTAGGATAATTCTTTAACTAAATGGAAAGCAAAGCCCAAGGCCCTGGGAATTCGCTTTTGTACAATAATCTTTTGTGTGCGTACAGCGGAAACCAGAGGATTACGGAGTCAAATCATGAGAATTCAGGTCAAGTGAGATTTGAGGGGGAAGGAGAATCTGACAGCAGCACCAGGGGGAAGGTAAGGATCCCAGGGGAGGTAACGTGACGCTTGCAGATAAGCCTGCTCTCGCCTTTCTGCTGTCACGGTTTAATTTTACACATCAGTATTAAAATTTCTTGGCTTTGCTGAACATCAGCTCTCTCTTTACTGTACAAAGTTCTTCTCTATTGTGGTGTTGTGGTTGTTTTTTTTTTCCCCCCAGTTAGCAGTTGCATTATTTTGGACTACGTTGGTGCCTCGGTTATTTTCTTTCACCATCCCTCTATTTTCTAGCTCTTTTACTGTTTTTCTATGATCTGAAAGTGTGTTTAAAACTCCTTCCTCCATTCCTCTCCTTGTTATTTTTTTTCATTACTACACAGCCTGGATCAAGGGCTTTGGAGGTTCTCTAGATATACAAAGCAATTCATTTACCTCCCCTGGACATTTACTTTCTGGAAGGAAGGAAATGTCATTAAAGAAAAGTGTGATGAAAAATGTGACGCTTCTTTTTCTGGCAAGGGAGTGATCTGAACACCCAGACTGACACCCAGAAACTGTATTCAAAGGGCTGCCAGCTCTCCCTACTGTGCAGACAGACCCAGCTGAATCCAATCAACTACTTACCATGAACTCTGCTGGTGTAGGATGTTAAGCTGATGGGAGGACGTGCTGTTGGGTAGCGGCTGCTGAGAAAACAGGGGAATAGAAAGTGCTAAATTAGAGCGGTAAACAGAAGAGGGAAGCAGGACCTAGGAAAATCAGTCTTCTGCAAAACTGAGCAGAAGTGAAAATAAGGATTTCCTTTATCTTCTAAGAAGCTAGGCAATATGGAAGAGAAGTTATGTTTTGTGTGTGGCATAAGATCCTGTCTCAGTCGCCATGAATGGGACCTGGAACAAAATACTTTCTCCACCTTTGAGAGATCTAATACGCTAAATGAGACAGGAGTGAGCCATGGCACAAAGCAGCTTCCTCTGCAGTGGTGAGGGGAGCAGGGGTCTGGAGGCACTTGAAGGATGAAAGGACTGTAGGCTGGGACATGCTGATATATTTATCCATAGGCTTTATTTTTCTTTCCTGGTCACAGCATTTTACTTTTCCAGGAAAGCGGTTTGAATCTGCATGCATAGGAAAGCTTCATTATATGAAAACTGTACGTGGTGCTACGTTATGAACTTATGCTAGCTGGTGTGCCATGCATTTACTCCCTGTTGTGTTATTTGAGATCAACTATGTCTTGTCTCAGTTCTATGTGCAGACTGTCACATAAGAAGCAGAAGCAGCAAGCACTTTGCTTCCCAGCTCTCTGTTCTCTGTAAGAGAACAGAACACAGTCTTGGTCTGTCACATGCAAAAGCAAAAAATAGTGCTTGCTTTAGTAGACTTGCATTCTACAAAAATGTGTATTATTGCCCTGAAAAATGATGTAATCTTGATTGTTGCGAAATCATATGTCAGTAAAATCTGGAACTTACTTTATTGTCCAAGGACTCTTAATTTGTTCTTCCTCTGTGTATTTTGTGGAAGCCCCAGGCTGTCTGCCCACATGCTGTTTTTCCTTGTACCTTTGAGAGGTTGTGTTCTCACTCTGATTCCTTTGTGTTGCGTTTCCAGTTGGTTAGCTCATCTCTTCCAGGTGAGCGTGATGGGCCAGGGAAGGAGGCAGGAGGGATCGTGTGGGGCGCAGCCTACAGTTTGAATGTCGTATGTTCAAAAGTACAGCGCCGAACACAGATGTTACGGATTGCATTCGCTTGGTCTGCAGGGAACTACATCCTGTATTGGATGAAATGGTTCGACTGCTATTGAAATGCTAATGTCTGTCCATTTCCTCCAGCAAAGTGAGTCTCATTATTTCTCCTTGTAGCCTACATTTACCCTTCCTCCAGTCTCCATCACCCTGACCCCAGAGTTTCTGCTTTTTCAAATATGCGCTTAAAATTTGTCTGCTATGTGATCGTTTTATGAGGTGATACCACAAAGTTTAAGTATGCGTTCCAGCTGTGCTAGTGACCCTGCCTATAAACCAAGGAGGTTGGCTTAGTACACTCTTGCCCTCTCGCTTAATGTGACTTAAGACAAGAAGACACAGATCCAAAGTGCAAAAGTGAAAGAGTGAAAACTCAGACTAGACGCTAGAAAAAGGAAACTCTAAGTGAAACTGACTTTTTATCTCTTTGTGTCTTCACGTTGACACTACATTAGGAAGGCTGACATGAAATATCCCCAGAGGCCCAAATCCAATTTTCAATCAAATGTAAAAGACTGGCTTGTAAAGGCCGAGAATGAATTGGTTCTGCCAGAAGAAAAATTAGCACAGAAACAAGCTTATTTCCAGAGAATCCACTAAAATAACTCTGTGACACCTTAATAGGGATTGTCCTTGTCTGGTTGCTTTTTTTATTTCTTTTTTTTCCAACTTAGTGAAGGTTCAGGGCCAAACCGTATGAGGAACACATACGCACGTTGCATAAGTAATTTGTTGTCGAGATTAGTTTAGTTAGCATTGATATGGGCTGCTCTTTTTATTCTTTGAGTCTATTTTAACAGTAATCTCCAAACAAATACTTACAAAAGCTATACAGATGTCAGTCCCACTTATTTCCATTTTCATCTGTAAGAAGCTGCAGAGATTTTGTTCTGCTTAGCTGTTGTGCTGCTTCTTAGCACCAAGTTCTCGTATTGCTGCAGTTCTAGGCTGTTTGCTCTTGCAGAAGAAGATTTAGGTCAGACTCTCTTCAGCCTTCTGTGATTTGTGGACCCCTAAATTTTCCAGCAGTAATGCAGACTCCTTAAGGAATTTCACATATGTAGCATGCTGTCTGGCACAAATGAGTTTGCTTTTCCTTCTCCACTTTGTGCAGACTCTAGTTTTCCATGGGTTTCCCAGGCTCTGCAGGACATGAGCTGGAAACCAATGATTTAGGTGAGCTCTTGAGCTATTAATCCTCCATGTACACACTGGTGTACTAGATGAGAATGCCATAAGTGAGTAACGTCAAGGCAAATATTTGGGAGTTATTGTGACTTCCAGTGCTTTACAGTTTCAAACCTGAATGCAGGATGTGTATGGGGTCAGTGTTCACATAGACAAGAAATACGTGGTGAAGGTGAACCAAAACCCACACTGTCCTCCTGCCTGACTGGCTTAGGCTGAGGAACTGTGGGCATTCCAGCATCCTCATAAATTGTAACCAGTTGCCTTCAGAGCTTTTGCTATCAGGTAATACATGCTCTTTGGTTTTTCTAAGCCTAGATCAAATCACATAAGGATCTACAATAAGACTCCTTTGGATTGAGCTCAGGCTTAGAAGAAAATGTGGGATAAAACCCACACATAAATCAACCTTCTCCCTGCACAGTTTCACGTACCAAATTCTTCTGTCCAATGAAAACTGGTATGCTTCTAGACACCATCAACACCTCTCTAAGGGCTGAGAGGTTGCTATTAGTAAGAAATGCCATACTCAATGCAGGAGGTCAAGCTCCTTATCCTTTCTAGCCCCAGTATTTGTACAGCAGCAGAGTACTGCATCATCTCCCAACCATAACTTTGCTGTTGGTCAGCTTTATTTGCTGCAATAGAGAATGCTGAATCAAAGGAAGGATGTAAATAGGAAGTGACTTGGTCTAAGCAGAGCTCTGGTTAGGAAAAGGAATTGGATGAGACATGGAATGGTTAAAACAGAAGTGAGAATAATGCAGCATTGGTGATGCAAAGTGAACAGAATGTAGCTAAGAGCTCTAGCTGCATGGATAGGGAGAAAAAATCCTGTGTCTGATCTGTCACACAGGAAGAGACTATAAACGTGGACACTTTTTGAACAGGAGGGCCCAGAACAAGGTCCAAGCTGAAGCTGATATCTGACTTGCATTTATTCTCTCTCTCCTTTACTTGGCATCTGCTGTAAACCCACTGTTGCCCAGACTGGGACTGATCTCAAGGTCATTGTTTTGATTCTGCTCTTATCCCTCCTGCCAAGAATTTTATAGAGCTTGGTGTTCTTTATAATGAAAAGGTACTGCCCATCAGCTGATACTTCCAGATTTTCAATTTTCTTTTTGGCCTCCTAAGGCTTTAATATGAAACTTTCCATCTCGCTGTCCATCAGATCCACTGCTCCTGAATTATGGCCAATTTCCTCTTAATGTCCACAGCAGGGATTTTTAATAAATCAAAATAGCAAAAAACAATGCTGGCCTATTCCCATCCTCCAGTGCTGATGGATTTAACTCCCTGCCAATAATAAGCCAGACAGGACATTATGGAGCCTTTTGTTCTTGTACAGCTGGTAGAAGATAGACTCTTCCCTTTCTCTGGAGGCATCTCATTCTAAACCAGGCCAGCATGTAAGCATGTGTCTCCAAAGGTAATGCAAAATAAAAATAAGGCTTCTCTAGCATATGGTATTGAGAAGAAGTCAGAAAAAGATTGGATGTTCCGTTAATCCCATTTTCTGTTCTGAAAATGATGTAATTTAGAAAATGCTACCACTTAACAGAACAATGACTAGACTTTCAGCCGTGTACTGCAGTTCATATCTAATTCTCATCTAGTTTTCTTTGTTTTGATGCCCATTTACAGAACATTGCACTGTATAATGCATAAAATAAAAATAAATTTCAGTTAACATGTAGTCTGCATGTAGCCTAACTGCTGCTCTGTCCCACTCTGATTTAAAGATCCACTTCAACATCTAGGGCAAAAGAATGGTCTGCATCCCATCACTTCAATTTCCTTTGGTTACTCTTCCTATCTCTGAATGTCTTTTCATCCGTATCCAGCATTTATTTGTCCCCTCTGTAACAGAAGCAGTACTTGCTGGGGTTGCTACATGGCAACCGTACAGTCTGTGTCAAAGATGCTCAACTGAGAGGAGAGCTTCAAGGCAGAGTTCCTGGATGGGTGAGCTGCTCTGAGGGATCAGAAGTATACTTTGTATACCAGAAGCGTACTTTGGCACATCAGAAACGTACTCGGTATACCAAAGTGTACTTCTGATCCCTCAAATGAGTTGAAATCTTTCAGCTGCTCCTTTCCAGGAGGAAGGCACAGGAAAACTTTGCCTTCGGAGCCTGCTGCTACCATTCTCTGTATGCTGTAGTTCCCATGGAAATAAATGGGAGGCAATACTTTTGGAGCAACCTAAGTATTTTCAGCTGATATACGGAGTTTTCTGACAGCAACTGCAGTGGTGCACTACTGGTACAATGCAGCTAAAAATTTAGATGACTTCTGGAATTCTGAGCATCTCTTCTGCAATTCAGAGCAGTACGAAAGCCCTGCTTCTCAGACTGTCCAACAGTGGCTTAGTGTAACACATGGAGATTTTTTTCTATTCTGACAGTGTCCTTAACTATGAGCTCTGGATCAATGACGTTCATAGTGCTGGCTTCCATTCCCTTTCTTGAAGTAAAAGAAGTAAGCTTATACTTTGAAATTATAGGGCAAAATAAATAATATATTAAGGATTTTGTCTTTCAGATTTGGAGTCTTCAAGAATACTTTTACTTAAGTAATTATCCCGTAGAGAGCTTCACTGCCAAGTAGAAGGTAACCAGGCACTATTTTAGTAATATTTCTAAAGCAGTGGGTGAGGGATTCACAGTATCTGGACTGTGTGATTGTTTTAACTGCTGTGTAGATAAAAGCAAAAAAATGTGAGCAGCGAAATGTGGAAAATTGCGTATATTTTATGACATTATTTCTCAGTTTTCTTTTACTCCTTAGTCTGGGAGAGGTGTTTAGATTGATTTTCTTGTACAGTAAGTGTTTTTGCTCAAAGCAAAGTTTCTGTTCTCAGAGCCAGCAAAACTCCTCTGCTTTAACGGACTTACAGACATCCTACCTGCGCTGGTATTCCCTGCAGACCTGTAGAAAACCCAGTGAGGCTCCTGGCCAGCTCTTCTTTAATCTTCTGTGTCGTTTTCGTTACCATGTTCAGACTTCTGCCCTTACTCATAACCCAGCTGAAATCGCGTGCAGCTGTAACTTCTCCTCTCCCCAGAGGCCCTTTCTCTCAGAAGATGGGATGAATGTATTTCTGCACTCAGCCACTCCGAAAACCCTTTTCCAAGGGATGCGTCCTCTCTGAACTTGGCAGGAATGCGCTTGACATTAATTGTAGGACCAGGCAGCACCGCTTCTGACCGCTGGTGAGGGAACAGCTGAGAAATTTCATTCTCAACACTGGTGCCTTTGGCTCTGGTTGGAATGGCACATCACTCACAAGACGCAGTGACACACACAGCGTGGAGAGTTATGTCCTTCCTGTGGATCATTTACACACGCTTACGTTTATACATTTTTACTTTCCAGTGGTGTTAATATGGCACCCCCTGGAGGAAATATGTTTGAAAACACTTGAAGAAAATATTAATTAAAATCCCCTTTGAAACCAATGCTTTAAACAGACTGTAAATTTTCCCAGTTATCTATGGAGAGGGGCCTTTGCAGAAACGTTTGTGTCATTTTTATCTGTAGGCAGTCTTTCATCCTGAGATGACACATGCAATTTTTTTCCTCCTTAGACTAAACGTGTCAGTCTAAGACTCTTACTGTGTAAGTGCTGGAGAATTAAGGAGTCAAAAAGGAAACCCAGAATGGCATCCATAAATGGCAACTGCCAAAGAGTCAGCTTGAGCCTGCCACAGTCGCTTTCTGTGTTGGACAGAAATGACCACATCCTGCTCGTTTTAGAATTAGCTACAGACTTAGATGTTCAGGAACTAAAAAATGCCAAAGGTGACTGTTTTATTTGTTTTGCCCCTCCAGTCTTTATTAAAAAAAAAAAAAAAAGCAAAACAAAAATATGTATTTACACAGTTTTAAATGCAAATAGGATTTAAACAAAACAATTGGGTGTTAGTGATTTCTAAAAGCAAAAATAAACAAGGTTAATTATTATTATTTCGCTGACTTCAATAAATACCTGATTACGTTTACAAACAACTTCAAAAGGAAGCTGTGAATGCCATATATGAGTGCAGCATCCAGTCAAGCTAAGCTGTGAAGTGTGAACAACAATTGCATTATTTCAGTCTGTTTGCCAGCTGGGCATTCAGCAGTCTCCTTGGTGCTCCTTCTGCCCCAGTAACAAAGCTTAGTCAGGGTTCCTTCTGGGAGGAACCTCTTCCAGGAAAACGTGGTGCTTCAATTGCTCCTGCATGCGTGATTTTGGCTTTCACTTTGTTTCCCTGGAAAGTCTTTTGCATTTCCTAGGGAGTCTGCTGTCTGCGCGATCCAGAGCCTGGAAATTAACTCCATGTAGAATGATTTGGATTGTAGAAAGAAGGGAGAGGGAAACTGCTAAAGAAACGTGGAAGAGGTGGGAAAGACAGACTCTAGAAGAAAGTTCCTGTCTATTAAGCCCAGCTCACAGCAGTGTCTGGTACAGAATGGGCCTGTTCATGGGTGGCTTCTTTGGAATGCCATGAAAACCACCCTGAGCTGGGAGGGACGTGACAGTGTGTATTGAAAGCAGCTATAGCAGTCTGCTGTTCAACTGCACAGAGCAGCAGATCAGTATATCTCTAATTATTATTTATCTGGCTGGCTAAGCTGTGCAGCATTTAAAACCTAATTTGTTGTATAATTTAATTTTAATTGAGTCTCCCATCCACACAGGACTCGTTAAGCTAGCTGTGTGTTTCACTTGCTGCCTTTTTACTTGGTACAGCAGAGCTGCAGGAGCTGAACCAATCATTTCCTTGCACTGTGCTATCACCAAGGTGCAGTAATTCCTCGGTGTGATTGCAAAGGGATCTCTTGGCAGGAATATTTAGAAAATGTTTTCTCAATGCCTCAATGTAACTAAACAACTTCTTCCTTCAGCTAATGCTGTGGTTTACACAAAAGATTTGGTTGTTGGGCTTTCAGTCACATCTCCCATGCGCTGGTATTTTTCTCTGCCTCTCAGAGATAACAATGACTAGTAACTGTGAGCAGTAATAAGAATGAAGTGCTATGAAAATGCTTTTGAGTGATAGTAACCTCCACTTACAACTTCTCTTCAAGTGTATAAAAGGCACTAGTCCTCAGCGAGGACTAAGTTAAAAGTAAGAAGGGCATTTTATAGGTAAACACTTTGTAAGGAATATAGAAACAGGCCCATTCTTGAAGGTCAATAATGCAAAGCTTTTGAGTACATGCATCCCTTTTGACTTACATGGGAGCTTTTGATTTCTCTTGAACTGAGGCCCATGTGATAGAGAACGGAGAAGTAATATTGTGCTTTGTGCATTGGATAGAACAGATAATTCTGCTTGTATTCATAGAGCTGAAGGGCTCTCTAACACAGGCTGGAGTTGCTGTGAGGCTCTTGTGGCCAAAAGGATCCACAGGGTTTTCAGGGAAGGCCAAAATGAAGGCAAAATCTGAGCACACAATCCTGTGAATCAGGTAGCAGCATCTCAGCAAAGAAAGGCAAATGTTTGGGTTTTTTTGGTTTTTTTTTTTCAGTGTTTTTTTTTGTTTTCAATATTTCATAACAGAAACTCAAGAATCTTTTGGGAGATAGGAGGGCAGCAAATTGTTCTCTGCATCTGTCTGTATGGCATGACTAATGTAAGAAAGCTAACCACCAGTATCTAGGCTATCTCAGCTTCTTCCTGCTCTATTTTGGTGTTCTTAAAGCTGTCCAAGTCCTTTGCATGAATGTAATAAATGAACGCACATCCAGAGTGTTGCTACTGGTGTTGTGTGCAAGCACAGCAATCATCTGTCCAAGAAGTCATCTTACTAGGAGTTCTAAGTGGCCTGAGATTGTGGTACAATGAGTACAAATGCTCTAGAAAAAAAAAGCCTGAATCGGATCTAGAGAAACAAGGGACAGGTATGCAGACTGACCAACAAGTGGTATCGGTGATGATGCTTTATGCAAGACCATGAAAGACCACCAAATTATAGGTACTCTCTGTCTTAACAGCTTTTGGGGAACAAGGAAGCAGTTAGGTTAGTGGAATGGAATTAGGTTGTGTGATCCTTCAAGGGTTAGATCAAGGACAGAGGGAGTGATGTATAAGAAAGAGGACGTCTTTCAGGAGACCCTGAGGAAGGAGCTCCAAGCAGGAGAATGATGCAGCCACTGGAAGGAAAGCAGCTGCCAGCAGACAGGCACCAGGGCCAATGCCTTCCTCTTGTTTCCTTTGAATACTTTGCTGGTTTTGTTTTTGAGCAGGTTTGAAATTTTTTATGAATTTCCTGCTACTGAAGAAGACATTAAAGTGGGGCCTAGCTACAACCATAAACCTTGCATCAGAAAGTAGAGATTTAAAACCAACCGAAAAAGAACCCTCATTACTTTGCTACAATCTTTGGAGTAGTATAAAAATGAGTTGATGTGGGGGGTAACAAAGAGCAAAGCAATGATTCTTAAAGAGTTTGCTTCCATCCCCGCTAGGCAGGTATGTCAGAGCCCTTGCTGATTAACGCTGGGGCACAAACTCTGTCAAAGGGAACAGATTCTGCCTTAATGCAAACACTATTTCTAACACCACTTCTCTAGTACAGCAAGAATGCTTTTATTTAACCATTGCAAGCGAACAACTCTTACATGTCGAAGAGTTAAACGCAAAGTACTGTTAACTACACGCGATCCAGCTCTTTCACGTGCTGCCGCCCATACGTTGTCGAGACGCTCGCACCCTACCCGCATCAAAGATGGCGCCCGCCACGTTATTCCACCCGCAGGCCTGCCCGCACCCAAGATGTCCCCCGAGGCGTCTCCGGCGCCCCAACCTCGCCATCATCCTTCCGGCATCCGCGGAAGAGGCGACGCTCTAGCAGGTGTGGCTCGGTGGTGGGCGCCGGAAGGTCCGCCTCTGCCGCCGCCGCGTTCTCTATGGCCGCTGCGCGCCGCCTCCAATGGCAGGCCGGGCCCCGCCCCGCCCTGATCAGCTGAGGGTGGCAATGTCTGTTGACAGGAGCCGCCTCGGCCGCGGGACTGGGCGTAAGGGCCGGGCCGAGGGGAGGGGGTGCCTGCGCCCGAAGGGGCGGGTGGAAGCGGCGGGGGGGGCCGCGGTGCCCCCTGCCTACCGCTCAGCGTCGAGGGAGCGTGAGCCCGCGGGGGGCGGAGGGCGGAAAGTTGGGGAGAGAAGTGAGCGGGGGGAAGGAGGCCGCCCGGCCCGATTCACAGCAGGCGGGGAGCGGCCCTGCGGGGTGGGGGCGGCGGGGAGCAGAGGGGGTGGGCTGGTGGCGGGGGGCCGGAGGGCGAGGAGAGGAGAGGAGAGGCGAGGAGAGGCTCTGCCTCTCCAACAAAAGGAAGCGGGCAGGGCCGGGAGCCCCGGGGGGCAGAGGGGCGGCGACGCGCGGGGCTCGGGCCGGCCTGCCGGGGGGAGCGGGAGCCGGCTCCCAGCGGGCCCCTCGGCGCCGTGCGATGCGAGGTTCGGGTTCGCTTTGTTTCTTTTCGTCAGATGTGAAGGCAAATGGAGCGCTCGGAAGGAGGCGAGCAGAGCGGGCGGCGGCAGCAGCCTTGGGGGAGGCTGACCCGGCTGGGTGCTGAGGAGGCAGAGCCGCACGTCCTGCTGCTGAAGAGAGAGTGGACCATTGGCAGGAAGAAAGGTGGGACGGGCTGCGCCGTGCGGGACGGCGGCGGGCCAGGGTCCGGCCTCACAGCCTGCGGAGGTGGGCTGCAAGAACCGGGCCTGCGCTTTTCAGCTGCTGGAGGCGCTGCCTGGCGGCCCCTCGTGCCCCCAAGCTGTGTGAAGAGACCTGTGCTCCTTTTCACCAGTTTGTGGCGTGGGAGCGCTCACACCTGAATGTTACCTTTGGGGTCACCTGAGGCAGCTTGTGCAAAGAAGAAAAAATGACAGTTGATTCAGAGAGTGTCCACGGTAGTCCTGTTGATGTTCCCTTTGCGTTTTTGGAAGTCACTGTAGAGGCTTTCACTGAATAGAATGAAATACTGGTGAGCTGCTTGGTACGTTTCGGCCTCTGTACTTCTGTGGGCTTCTGTGTCGCAGGGCTTTAAGGTTGAGGAATTGTACTGTCGTTTATCAACTACTAGTCCCCAGTACTTCCTATTCTGGTGTTACACTGGTGTGAAAAAGGGCTGGGTGCTCTGTGACAAAGGCCTTCAAAATTTGGATTGAGTGTATCTCGGATTTGTGTGAATTTATACTGTTCTGAAGTGGACAAGTTGTGGTTTGGTTTTCATTTGTAAAGGTTGAAATTAGGGAAAGAAAGGGAACTACAACAGCTTGAAGTGGTTGAAAGAAACCTGTCTTGGTACGTGGGGCTACTGCACAGTATTTGTACATCACATAGATGGACTATGTTTCTGCTTATATGCCAGCAGGATTTTTGAACTATTGCAGATGTACATGAGTCAGTTTGTTGTGCATTTATAGACATGCAGAATGTTGAGTTGTCTGTGTAATGTGTATTTTTAAACATGCTGGAAAATCTGCTTTCTTTTTAAGGTTGTGACTTATCTTTCCCTGGCAACAAGCTGGTGTCTGGAGATCACTGTAAAATCATAGTGGATGAAGAGTCTGGTCAAGTGTCATTGGAAGATACAAGGTTAGTTCTCCTTTGAACTTCTGCTACTATCTTTTCTTTAGGCCATGAAGTAAAATCTTGTGCATTGCTCATGGCATTTATAACAAATCCTTTTCCTTCATTTTTCTTCCTCTCTTTTTGCAGCTGTGGAGTGGCTGCTTTTCTTGTTTGTTTGTTTTTTGCACTTTCCCAGTATTTTTTTTCCTCTTCAAAGGAACCCATGGAAAATACTGATGGTGTAATAGTTCTTTGGGATATTTCTTTGGGCTTCTGAGAGAAAGCAAGATGGCTTGTTGGAGTTTTGTTTAACTAGAATAATTATTCCCATGCGTATCGAGGGTTTGGGAACTAAGATCCCTAATGTAAAAAGACATAAGCACATATCTCACTGGAACTGCTGTCAAGAAGCTAAGCTAGTTTTGTGAAACAACTTTTGGCGTGTAAAGTTCATTATGTACTTCTTCATATGCTGAAGGCCAGTGAACTTGGCATGTTAGCCTTGTTATTTCCTGTAGAGTTTTAAGGTTACTGTGGGAGTACAAATAGCACTGCAGGGTTTGTGGGTGGCTTTCATTGGATTTTATCTTGTTTTCTTTGTGAAATCTGAGATAGGAATTTGAATAGAAGGAGATTTCTTAGGAGGAGGTTGTAACCCCCTTCACATTTTCATCTGCTTCATTTTTGACAGGATTTTTTTGTGTGAGCTTGCAGAAAGCTTCTGGTTTGTTGCATTTCAAGAAATCCGTGACATTTTAAAATGTTTCTGTAAACCACATTCTTTTTCTGCTCCGCTGTTGCAGTTAATAAAGAAACAAACAATTCTTTTTTTGCCAGCTCCCCTCTTTCTTCATGTCTAGAAAGCACTACACCCAAAGATGAACACAGTTCAGTATATATTGATGAATATACGTGATGATGAAATTGGATGTGAAAAGTTTTATGTGCCATGCTGAATCTGCTGTTTCTTTTTCAGATGTCCTAGGATGCAGTTAGATCTCTTGTTCTGGTAGCTCAGGTTAGTGTTGTATACTTCCTAGGGCTTTGAGAATGTTCTGGAAAAGCCGTTACTTGAACAGTGGGCGCATCTTCTGGGACGCTGTTGGCAGAATCTGTGAGATACAGTTGACAGCTTTCCTTCAGCAAAATTTCTGTTGCTTTGTTAATTAGTGGCTGTGCCAAATTTTCCTCCAGTAAAACAGAACATCATGGAATTACTGATGTTGGAAGCTACCTCAGGAGGTCACCTGTTTCCAACTCAGTGGAAGAAGGGCCATCATTCTGTTTGAACTGGGGTGTTTAGGTTTTCTCTTGTCCTTTAAGTATGGAAATCCTGTAGCATCTCATGGCCCTTATTCTGAACCTTAATTATACCTGTAGTGGCTTTTTTTTTTTTTCTTGTCTTGTTTGGCTCTACATAAAGAGCCTGACTCCATAGTCTTGGTATCTTTCTTGTAGGTACTGGATGATTGCTGTTTGGTCTCGTGGTGCCCAAGACACCTTTTCTCTGGAAAAATAGGTCCAATTCCTGTACCCCTTTAGCCCATTGGTCTTGTGCTCCAGCCCTCTGGCCACTTCGGTGGCTCTCTGCTGGACTTTCTCAAGTTTATCATCACCTTTTGTTGTCCTGGTGTTCCAAAAAGTAGATGAAATATTGTAGATGTGGGCAAGTGATTTCTATGCAAAGACTAATCACTTCACTTGATCTTCTGACTACACCCTTTTTAATATAGCCAAATATGCTGTAGGCCTTCCTCACTGCCAAGGCACGCTGCTGACTTATGCCTAGGCATAAATCCAAAGTGTATGAGCTTACGTTTAGGCATGAAGTTCACCAAGATCCCTTGCAGATCTGTCCCCAGCCTTTACTGTTGCAGGTGATTGTTCCATCCCAGCTGCAGAGTGCTGGGTTTGACCTTATCGTGGTATTCCCATCGGTCTGCCTGGGTCCCTCTCAAGAGCCCAACTCTCACATGTACTAAATATTAAATATAGCCCCTACTTTGGGGTTACCTGCAAGCTTGGTAAAAGTTTAGTTCCCTCTCCCCATCTAGGCTGTAAGTAGAGGTAGTAGGTTGTCTGAAGGATAGGTGTCTGAATCCATCCCCGATGGCTTGCGGCTGTTGGGAAACTTTGTATTCCAAGAAGCTGTGGGATGAAGTGCCAACCTTTAGGGAGAAAAATCATGAGACTTCTAGGGAATGGTTATAAATGTCATTGTCCAATATTAAGCCACACATCGAGACATTTCAAGCAACAGGTCAGGTTATGTTTGCTGGTCATGGTAGTTTTAGGGGGCAGCTGTAAATCTGTGTTTGGAAAACCATCACTTGTTTCAAGTGCATGCAGCTGGTAGAGTTAATTTATACCAATGTGGTGATAATAAAATCCGAAGAAATTGTGAATGATGCAGAAACTTTCCTACTTTTCCTTCTTTGCCTCTCTGCCTGGGGTGGAAAAAAAAAAAGCAATAACAAAAAAAAAAAGAACTCGCTAAGCCAAATTAAACTTATTTGTTCATGTGATGCATTCATGAAAAGGTGGGACTTGTTAAGCTGATGTCATAGACGGGATTCATCAGTACATGGAGTACCAATGTTAGCTGCTTATGCATGTTATGTTTATATGTAGCTGACAAAAAAGAATTGGGGTCATTCAAGCGTTCTGCTTGCCAGTGTGTTGCTGTGAAGTGTAGTTACCTCTTGCTGAATCAAAAGGCTGAATTAGTTAGCATGCCTGTTTGCAGAAGACTCCACTCCTCTGATTCTTCCAACTTTTGCAGTGAGTAATAGCTGAGCTCTAAAAAATCAAGCAGGCTGAAAGAAGAGTTCTGAATGTTTGAGTTGGCAATACTGATGCCCAGAGTCCCAGAAAAATCTGCAACATCAGCTTTTTTCTGCTGTTAAGTGGAAAATAGTTTGGAAACATTGCTGTGGTCAAGCTCGGATTTTTCTGGTGAGAAGGAATGCATTGAAGGAGGCAGCTAGCATGGGATACTTGGACTGAGTGGACTTTGTTTTTGTATTGTAGCTGAATCAAAGAATATCATCAAATACATGTAGATGGTCAACGTTGTTATTTGCCACCATGGTAGCGTGATGAGTTTACACATCTATTTTTGAAAGAATTACCATAAATTTGCAGATGAGAGCAAATGTGTAGAGGATTTGAAATTATTGAGTAAACAGAACCAGCAGTAATGTAACAAAACCCAATAATTAGCAAGTAGTACAATAAGATATCCATGGATTTGGGCCCTCTCCCCCTTTTTTTGTGTCTGTGTTTCTGTTTTGTTTTCCAAGCCGTGTCTGACAGAAAGACAAACTGACGTGACACAGCTGAGGCAGATGCTGGTCTGCCATCAGTAAAAGCAACTGTAAGATTCTTCATTTTGAAATAGAAATTTGAAAAGCAGCTGTGGTAAATAACTTGTAAGGATTTCTTTTGTCTTCCAGGTAATTTTTTTGAAGGATTCTGGTTAAATATTTAAGGATTTTTTTTTCAGAGCAGGAGAGATGTTCTCAAGTGACAGACTAGCAGGTGTCCCCTTCCTGTGAGTAAGGAGGAGATTGATCTCCATTGCACAGTGCTGCCCTCTCTGCTACTGGGTTCTGCTTACCCTGCAGTCAGGCTGTTTTGGTGGCTGTTAGCAGTATGGAAGCTTATTAAAGCTCAAAGTGCATCTCAGTTTATAGTGTGTTGAAGATACTATGCACTTGCACAACTTCTAAATCTGTTAACCCATATGTTTTACCATGAATTACGTTTCTGCTTCCTGGATAGACACTAGTAATCACTAGAAGGTAATGGGCTGGCATTTTTCTGGGAAGGGTAACTGAATGCCTTACAATACACAGATCATTAATCTACTTTGAAGGTCAGCATCTTCTAAGTGAAATGTGGTTGTTTGTATCAATTCTGTACTGTTGCTGGGTTTGGGAAGTGAAGGTAACGTGTGGCTGTGGATGGGGCTGCAGAGCCAACAGCTGGGCTGGAGCCCGCAGCTGACCTTTATTTCTTCCTGTGTTCAGAGAAGTGGCGATGGGACCTTTTGTGACATTGTTTCACAACTCAGGCAATTTACACCTGATAGTAAAGTTTTGTTCTCCACATCAAAGATAATGCAGCTAGTTAATATCAGTTCAGTGTCAAGTGAAACTTTGTCTGTAGGGTATGTTTTAAATGTTATTTATCTTATGAGGAGCTTGCTATGGTCTAAAACATCAGAGGAACGTGCAACTGCCATTATTTATCATGTGTGTCTTGTTCAAAACAACCACAGCATTAATCTAGTGTCACTGTGTCTGTTAGATGTCTCATGCTGCAGTACTGAAACTGGGAAGGCTAAGTGGAGGAATAACAATCATCTGGGGTGATTTTTTTTTCCTTTAATTATTGACTGAGATGAAACTTCTTCAGTTTGTTCATGTATTTAAGAAGAGCTTTATTTTCCCCTTCTTTATAAATTGTATCTGTTTTTACTTACTTTGTGTCCATGGATGCCACCTAACTCCTTACTGAGCTCTTCTTGCAGTCAGCATAGCTGCAGGACTGAGGAGACTTGGATATCTGTAGTCACTGTGGATGGGGCAGCTGTTTCTGCAGCTTCTGTTAGCAGACCAGAAATGAGTGGTTTCTGATGCACAGTGCTGATAAACCTTTTTCGAGGAATGCCACGCTTGGCTTATTGCCCCTCATAGCCATCTTTTTAATATCACTGGTATCAGTGTTAAGTTAAAAATGGGTATCATTTCTGGCAGAATGACTAGAATTCTTTCTTCCTCTTAATTGCTGAACTTCTGGTGCATTTAACTTTCAGTGACATTCCCATTCTGCTGCCTTTTTGGTTCTTATGTCTTTCAGGCTAGTCAGCATCTATATTCCTAAGGTAAAAAGGCAAGCTCTAATTTCTTTACTTGTAAAAGAAGCCTGAAGATTCGTTAGTGGAGCAATGATTGATGTGACCCAAAGTTTTTTCCTTGTTGGTGCTTAAAGTTGCTTTTTAATGTGTGTCGGATTGGTTGTCTGTGTAGGTAGTGAAAGCTGTTGCAGAGGGAGAAGGAAAAAGTGATGCCTTGAACAAGACGTGCTGCTATTCAAAAAGATTTGTTTGCCCTTTTAGCTTTTTCATGTAATGCTTTCAACTTTGCATCTGGAAAGATCAGCAGTACAAAGTGTTTTCTTTATTTGTCTTGCTAAATGACAGGAGAATTTTTCTGGTTTGAGTTTGTTTTTAAAGGAAAAACAATGAGGAGAAGGGAAGGAAAGATACTTATGTCTAAATTACCATTGTTCTCCTCTAGGTAAAAGCTGGTCCTTTTGAGGAAGGCTGGAATGTGTTCTGAGATCAAGTAGTGGCTTCCAGGAGGTGGCAGCAAAGGTTTGCTGTCGTTTCTTGGAGGAGGTGCTTTGCTTAGGGGAAAAAGCATCTTCTTTTCTTTCATACTTGGTACTAGTTATGAGACAGAAATGGCAGAAATCTGAAGTTCTAGAATGCTGCAGCCCTGAAAGGGGCTTATTGCAAGGTAGCTGAAATTTTTCAGTATTTGGGTAATGACTGAATTATTAAAAGCTAAGAGCTTGCCTATTGAACAGCACCCACAGTGAAAGAACAAAGGTGAATTAATATAGCAGTGCTCTGTATTTGCTTCTTTCCTGGTTTAATTTCTCCTGTAAGTCTTGGAGCTTTCATAAATACCAAAATAATTCTTTCCAGCTCTCCTTTAAGTTGTGCATAGCAGTTCTCTCACCTGACTTCTTCGGTTTCAGTTGCAGATGGCCTACATAGCCTTGAAATTTTTCACTATTTGAAACAGAAATGGAAGCAAAACGAACACCAGCCATGGATCCCTTACTGTACAGAAGTTCCTTTGTGCCAAAATGTTTTAGAAGACTCCCATTGTTAATTGGAAGACAATTTCTTGAATAGGAATCCTACTGTCCTTTCTTCTTTCATATTTAAAATACGGAGACTTTTCTGTAGTAACAATCACTGAATTATTTTGAGGCAGTGGCCAGGTGTGTTTCTGTGAAGGCCACGTCTTTAGTAGGAGCTGCAGACGAGCTTTGAAGTACAAACTGTCCTGCTCTTCTCTCTTTGAAACAGGTTTTCTCTTTTCTATGGTTTGTTTCTGAACATTTTTCTTTATCCTTGCTTAAAATGTCTTGGAGAGCCAACAGTTTCCTTCGTTAAAAGTATCTTGAATTTTCTTTTCCTTCTCCCAGATAATCATGGAACCATTTACATTGTTTTCTTTTTCTTTATAGTACTAATGGAACAGTAATTAATAAACTGAAAGTGGTTAAGAAGCAGACTTACCCTTTACAAACTGGAGATGTGATCTATGTTGTTTACAGAAAAAATGAGCCAGAGAACAGTAAGTAAAGGATGATTTTTTAATTGTGCAGTCGTTTTGTACGTCAGTACAATCAAATCAGGGTTACTTCATTTTAAGGCAAATAATTTGTTGATATGTAGAAACAGATTCTATGGACTGGGTTGTGGATGTGCCAGTTTTTACAAGGACAGGTCTGACAGCTGTCGCATTGAAGCCTGCCTGTGAGCAGCTTTGGAAGAAACAGTGCATGCAGTGATAACTGATGAGGTCCTGGTCACACACCCAGCACTCATTTCAGGACTCCAAATTCTCAAGGTCATTAGCACTACTTTGTATATCACATTTAAGCAGTTTTTGGCATAAGGGGATCAGGGAGTTGCTGCCAAAGTTGAGTTTGATGTTTTATGGTTTTGTTCTTTTAAAAATGTGGGGCAAGCTGGGGATGGGAAAAGATCCTGTAGTACAAGTAAAATCAGTAAACCTGAAAAGGTATTTGTGTACCCTTGGAGTAAAATCATCCCTCACATGCCTGTAGTGCTCTTTAGGAATCACTTACAAGCTCCCCTATATACATTTACAACGTGATGTTTGATGGAAAAATAAAAGAGCATACTTACAGTTTTCATCCATCAATAAATGTATTGACTGTCCATAGAAGAGTATGTGTGCATCTCCTTTTAGGAAGTTGCTGTTAATTTATGTGCAGACAGATCAGGCTGATTTATGCTGTCTGATGTGAAAGTTACAAGAAGCAGCAATATGCTATATCTGTCCATCTGTTTGGCTTGTTTATCTCATAAATCCTCTTTAAGATGGCACTGTTTGTGGTTAGAACTTGTTTATATGAATTTTTCAGGTACTTTATAATGAATTGAAGAACAGATTAACAAGGTTTTGAATTACAGAAGCATTCAGTTTGGCTCTTTCAGCTTCTCCATCTTCAAAGACAGAAAGGAAATACAGAATTGACATTCTGGCTGGTCTGAGTACTTCTGAAGGAGTTTAGACTAACTTTATGAGAACAGGGGCTTCTGTCCTTTTTGAATTTGATTCTAGTTTGGGTAAAAAGTAGCAAGGTGGGGGATCTGTCAGAATGTTTTAGTCTGAAGTGGTTGGTGAAAAAGGGAATATTATTCAGTTGTTTTGTATTAATAGATACTAAATTAGTTTCTGGATGTAACTGGGAGCGTGCAATAAATCTGTATGTTTTAGAGTTTGTTTCTTGCAAAGAAATCTAAAATTGAATGAAGAATTGGAGAGGTGAGCTCAGAAATAATAACCTTCAAGTAACTTTAACTGAAGTATCTGGGGAAAAAAAAAACAACTTGGTTTGCTATGATTCATAGCAGATTTTACATGTTAGAAATGATTGAGCCTCTGCTTCCATGGCTGGCACAAGTTAAAGCTCACACAAAGGCCTCTTTGCCTGGTTTCCTGAGAAGAAAAGATCTTGCTGTGTTGTTCCTAATTGCCTCCTAAGTAGGAGTATTATCATTGTACAGTGGAGGTGGTCCCTCGTTGGCCTGTTGTGTTGTCAGACACTCTGGGGAAGCATCTGCCAGGCAGTAGAACTTGTTTGTGTGAGATTTAAGTGAGTTGGTTTTTATTTTAAAATTCTGTTTAATATTTTTTTTCTCTTTTTCAGACGTTGCTTATCTTTATGAATCCTTAAACGCAAAACATGATGCAACTCAAGAACCAGTAGGTAAGGAAGTAATTGGAGATTTGAGAAGAGTAGCTAAGCTCCAATGACTAACAGTGCTTTTTTTAGAGTTTGAGCCCTGGAAATTCTGAAACCATCGTGTGAAAACTGTCACACAAGTTCTTTTTCTTTCCCTCTTTTCCCCCTCTAGCTGTAGAAGCTAATGTAGAAAACCAATGCCATGTGACCAAAGATACCTCAAGTACAGGAAGAAGTAACGATGAGAACCAAATTACCTCATCACCATCAGCTACTCAGTCTTGCTATGAGGAACCACAGCCATCTACTTCTACATCTAACCTCTTTAATGCTTCTTCTACCTCTCTTATTGAGTCTGCATCTGTTGAACAGGATAATCCTTCTACATCTGGTAAGAATTATATCAGTATTTAGAGTGCTTCTGATCTGTTATAATGATCAATATTGTTTAAATCCTTTCCGTGGCATCTTTGTCAGAAAGCACTGATATGAGTAATAGTGTTAGGAATAAATGCTCTGTGCTTTGAAGGGGATTTTAAGTACGGTTCCACAACTGAAGGCCTGTTTTTCCAGGTCCTCTGCATGGAGTGTAACGATACATGCAGTCCTTGTGCCTTGGCATCCTTTTTTCCTGTGCAGATGTTTGGATTCATGTATGTGCATAATTGGGGTCTGAGTAACTTCTGTTTTTGCATGTCTATGCAGCTGTGTTCACTTTGCTGTTTTTATTTTGCAGGATCACAATCCTCACTCTTCACTCCTGTGCCTGCTTTGCCCACCTTAGAATCTGTGTGTCTAAGAGCACTTCATGATGAACATGAAAAGCTGGATGTGAATGCTGAAACTTCTGCAATCACTTCAGAAATCAGTGACAAAGAAAACGCAGAATTGGGTTCTCAGAGGACAGAGGAGGAAGAAGTTTTGGAACCTGCTAAAAAGAAACTAAAAGGAGGTTAGTATGCTGCAGTATTCTGCAACCAACTCTTTAATGTTATTAATGAAAGTTAGTTTTAAAAGTTTAAATTAGAAATTTAATGCTGTTTATTTTTCATAGAAACCCAGTGAAGTGAACAGAAACTTAAGAAAAAAAGTGCAGAGTTGTAACATGAAATAAATACAAAGGCACTCATCAAATTTAGAAGGGATTGAGAGGTTACCTGCTTTAACATGGGCGTTGGACTCAGTGGCCTCTTGAGGTCCCTTCCAACCCCTGCAGTTCCGTGATTCTGTTAGGTTAGTGTGGGGTAGATAACTTTTCCCCCCTCATAAGTAATTCTATGTTGTAGTATTAAAGAAAAGTTAAAGAAATAAACATTATTTGTCTTCCTGTGTCCAGATTCAGTCAGATCAGTGTCATCTGTCCTTTTTCAATTCCTTTTTTCTCAACTGCTTTGTTTCTGATCCAATGAAAATGGTTACTTGATTAGCAGAAACGATTATGTGAAAAGCAGGAACCTTTAGTGGCACCATTGTCGTTGAACAAGGGATTTGTGTGCACCTTTCCAGTCGTTTTGTAAGATTAAAAAAAAAAGTTTCAAAATCTACATACTGTGGAGTTTTCTGTCTTTGTAGATGAAGGTGCTTGTCCAAATCTTCCAACAGCAGCTCCAAGTGAATGTATAATTAAAATTGGCTCTGAAGATGCCAAAACATCAAATGTGAAACCAGATAAGATGGAGGAAACATTAACCTGTATTATCTGCCAAGAATTGCTGCATGACTGCGTGAGGTATGTATGACTGACAAACACTGTGTTTTAGTGATGATAATGTAAGTTCAGTGACAAAAGTTTGAGGTGACCAGGAGATTCGGTATATTTACAAGCCCTTGAAGTCTTTTTTAATGAGTCTTTCTTATTATCTAAGTAGATCTTACATGTTTTTTGAAGTGTTATGAATGTAACTTAAAAAGATGACGTATTTAGGGTTTACTTGTCATGTTGGTGTTTTCCAGCTTGCAACCTTGTATGCATACTTTCTGTGCTGCCTGCTACTCAGGATGGATGGAAAGGTCTTCTCTGTGTCCAACTTGTCGTTGTCCGGTAGAACGTATCTGTAAAAATCACATATTGAACAACTTGGTTGAAGCTTATCTGATTCAGCATCCAGGCAAGTTCAAGTGTGTTACAGAGCCCGATGTATTTCACATGTTAACTGTATAGCTGATGTATCCACAAAGGCTGTCATCAATAACGTGTCTGTATGTTATGCACTCTTAGTACTGTTTTCTCTGATGAGACTGCAAAAAAAAACCAAAAACAACCAAGATCTTCTTGAACTGTTATCTAAAAACAAATTTTATGGCAACAAAGATGCCGTAACTCTGTGTAAAAAGAGCAGAGTGGGAATAACAAATGTGAAGAATCTTGTGCTTTTGTCTTGAAACTTGAGTTTGGTTTTTATACAGATAAATGTCGTAATGAAGATGATGTACGTAGCATGGATGCCAGAAACAAAATTACTCAAGACATGTTGCAACCTAAAGTGCGGAGGTCTTTCTCAGATGAGGAGGGAAGTTCAGAAGATTTGCTGGAATTGTCAGATGTAGATAGTGAGTCTTCAGATATCAGGTAGGTCCGTTTAACTCGTGTACTGAATTGAATTTGCTTATGCTTGAGTGCCCAAACGTACAAACTGGTTTCGAAGACATTGAGAGCATTGTTATTGCTGATTTTGTCTCCACAATCACTTCCAGAATGAGTCTTTCTTCTGTTTTGAGGAAAGTTCATTTTTCCCATTAATTATCTTTGCAATTCTACTGGCCATCTTTAAGCAGTCAACAAAAAATATGTTAAATTGGAACTCCTTGAAGCCCAGCTAGATTCAGTTTATGACTACCAACTTTCTCCTGATTAGCACGACAGCATCTCATGATGTGTGAAAATACCTTCTGTGGCTGTTACTTTACGGAAGACTGATTTCTACATAAGGTTTTGTTATGAGAAATAGCATTCTATGACCATTTAATTATAGCTGGAATTGATGTCTGGGATCCTGCTTTCACTAGGTGTGTGCTACCGAAGCAGCTGATGCTTGACCGAGGGATTACTAGCCACCAGAATAGCTCTTCTTTTTCAACAGCAAGCATTTTTTGCTTTATGTCTAGAGGAGAAAAGAAAAAGTCTTCCAGTAGATAATTATTCCAGCTTTGTTAATCTTGCTTCCACTCACACCACTGTTCTCTTTTGGAAGCTATTGGGAATCCTTTCTTTTGCAGTGCTCTTTGTTACAGCTACAGCATTCTTCACAGCCGTGACGTACTGAGTTATGTGGACTTCCATATGTTACTGGATGGAGAAATTCTAGATTAGAACTTAGAGGGTATAATCAACCTGCAGTCTAGCATAGCAATGAGTTGTATTTGCATTTGGGTATGATTTTTAAAAAATATTTTATTTTTTCAGTCAGCCATACATAGTATGCAGGCAGTGCCCAGGGTATCGAAGGCACTCTGTTGCAGCTCTGCCTGGCACGGGCCAGGAGACAGAAGCAGGAGGAATGCAAGCACTGGGAGATGCCCCCTCCACATCTGCCAACTTTCCTGCAGGTCAGTGTCACGAAGTCATGTTAGCAGCATGCAGATAGTAGGTGTATGAGCTACAGGCCTTGTAAAGCTCATTCTCATAGTACTGTATCACCTCTTCACACAGATATCTTTGCAAGAAAATTAAATTTGAGCATTGTTTTAGTGTGGTCATCCAAAATAGACATCTGATGGTTGATAGTTCATAAACTCTTTTGTGTATTTGAATATTTTTGCACACCTATGTAGTTTAGAAGTCTTCTATGCTTTTTTAAAGAATCTTTGTGGGGAAATATATGTATTTTTATAGATCTATATAAACAAGCAGGCTACATATATGTGTGTGTGTGTGTATATATATATATGTATAGCTTGCTTGTTGCTTTCAGATTTTTGTCTATTGTTTGCTAGGATTCCAGTCCATTTTGTAATTTTTTGCATTGTTCAGCCTTACGTTTTTCTTATTTTTTCTCACCTACCTAGCTGTTCAGGAGTATGTGTGTCCTGCTCAAGGAAGTCATGTAATATGCACCTGCTGCTTTCAGCCAATGCCTGACCGAAGAGCAGAGCGTGAACAGAACCCTCATGTTGCTCCTCAGCAATGTACGTGTGCAGTTCTGCAGTCAAACTTAAGAAAACAATTGAAAAATAAGTTTCTCTTTGTTTTAGTGAAAATCAAGTGTATTTCGAAGAGTGATTTTATTTGAAATTCTTTCTTTGGAGTCTTCCTTTATAAAATGTATTTATTCATCCTCTTTTTTGAATAAGAAAGCTGTGCTTTTTTAACAAAGTTTATCAGGACTCTAGTGCTGTAAAAATGACAGACTGTTGAGATTTGTTGTGTGCAATCCTGACGGGTTTTCTTTGCTATTTTCAGGTACTGTTTGTCTGCAACCCTTCTGTCACTTATACTGGGGCTGCACTCGGATGGCGTGTTTTGGCTGTTTGGCACCATTCTGTGGTATTTTGGAACAATATGTTTTTTACCAGTCTGCTCTCTTTGCCGTAATGTGTCTACCTTAAACTTGAGTAACTTATGAAATGCAATAGACTGCCACAGTTATGCCAAAGGAAACAGAGGCTGTGTCCTCACACTACAAACAGAAATGATACTTGAATGTGCATGTCTGAGATTTGAGTGGAAAACAGCACTTGCTGAGCATATTGCTTCCCAGCATAAAAAAAAATGTGGTATATTTCAAGCTAGCAGGAGAATCATGCATGTCTTTGCAAGAGCATTGAATGTCTGATGTTAGCTGGTTAGAAAAGAAGCTTTCTCTCTCAAATTTCTAGTCTCCCAAAGCTCGACGTTTTTGATGCTTTGAAAAATAAGAATAGTTGAAAGGACTTGACTGTAGAATATGCTTTCATAACACTGTTAATTAGTGCAGATCAGTAGCACTGTTTGAACTGATGGTGAAATTGTAAGATCTTAATGTCTTGTCTTCGATGGTAACTAGAAATTATGTATTGCACGTGTGTGTTCAGCATGTTTTGAACTCAGCCACGTGCTTGGTGCTTGCAGGAGCCTGTGTGTGTTATTTCAGGAAACAAAAGAGCCTTCAGAATGTATGTGAGGGCCAAAGGGTTTGGGAAGAAATAATAATTCTTTTCTTCTTCTGTTAGAAATAAACCTTGGTGACAAGTGTTTAGATGGAGTCCTAAATAACAACCACTATGAGTCAGATATCCTAAAGGTATTTTTTTCAAATGTTTATTATGTTACATAATAATAAATCTGTGTTGTTTAAGATTTGCTCATGAAATGATAGTGATATTTAATTGCTCAAACATATATGTCTAGCAGCTGCCAAGAAGGCCACAGTTATGGCAACAATTTATGAATTTGGGTTTAAGTGACCATAGAATTCATGTTTGTTTGATTGCTAAATCAAAGAATTTTCCTTGTATGAATTATTTGTTAGGGAGCCCAGTATCTACAATCTGAACTGCAACATCTGAAATGTTAATTAGAGAAAAATAATTCACTAGCATATAACAGGAAAACAAATGTTTTTTGGTTTTTTTTTTAATGCTAAACAAATTAAGCTTCAATTGTGTTGCATAGAAATATTTCTTTCTATACCATAATAACTAGATTATCTAAATTAGGTAGGCTGGGTGAAATCTTGCTGGTAAGTTAAGTGATAATGTGGCTGGTGGGAATCTGTAGGCATTCTTTTGGCAAAAGAAAGAATGCTCTGGAGGAAGAAACTGAGCTAACAGTTTTATTGGTGATTTGAAAGCTGAAAAAAGAATAATTCTATTATTCTATTTTTGTTTGTAAACAGCCTCATCCCATGTTGAAAGCATAGTTAGATCTAGGGTTGGAAACATTTGAAAACTAATGGCTTGGTATCCTTTTAATGTTTGAGATTTTTCAAGTGAAACAAACTCTTTTTCAGGATTACCTGGCATCCAGGGGTTTGACGTGGAAGAATATGTTAAATGAAAGTCTGTTAGCTCTTCAGAGAGGAGTTTTTATGCTGTCAGGTGCGCTTTGTTCGCTTCTGTCCACGTATAACTGTGTGTGTGGGAGCATCAAGAGGTTTGATGTTCTGTATGTACATAGCTTGTGATGTCATGACATCTTCGTTAAATCAGATTTCTTGTTCCTTACACTGACATCTTGTGCAAACTGTACTTTTCTCCAGATTACAGAATTACTGGGAACACAGTGCTTTGCTACTGTTGTGGCCTCCGCAGCTTTCGAGAACTTGCCTACCAGTACAGGCAAAATATTCCTGTTGCTGAACTGCCAGGTGGGTTCGCTTTGCACAGTACAGAGGAAGTCAGTTAAAAAGTTAATCACTTTTGGGTCTTCTATATGAAGCCTTAGATTTAAATGAGATATGGGTTGTGGCCTCCTGTGGCAGATTTAAGATTGGGAACAGAAACTCTTCCTGTAATCCACTTTTAAGCATTACTTTATCCATTCAGTTCTTGTTGTTGCAAGAGCTTCTACATCTTTAACTACTGAGAGCTCTGCTTTATTTCTGTGCATAATGAGACAGCTCACCTTGTTTCTCCTCATTATTACCTTTCTGTTTAGTGTAACAGCCTGCTGGACCACTCATTTACTATGTATGTAAAACTGGGGGAGAATAACAAACTACCCAAATTAATGATTTTTTTTTCTTTTAATGGAAAGGTATCTAGATATATTCCTGGTGTCCTAAACTGTAAAGTCAGAATCTGTTAAACTAAATAGTAAAGCTTCAGTTGAGGACACTGAGAAACAGTGGTGCAGTGTACTGTCACCTTATTTAATGGCTTCAGAAATAAATGTAGCTTTTTGTCTTCTCTGCAGTGACTGTCACATCACGTCCTGATTGCTACTGGGGGCGCAACTGCCGAACTCAGGTCAAAGCACATCATGCCATGTAAGTTACACCTTTTAGAAAGTGGTGGGGTTTTGGGTTTGGTTGTTTTTGCTTAAAAACAAATCCTTCAAAGGGCCAAGAATTGTGTGAGGAATACTGCTGCAGTACAAACAAAAGTGAATGAGCTTTGGGTTGTGGGTTTTTGTTTGTTGTTTAAACACAACTTGGAAATGGACCCTTTGTGCACGGCTGAAGGCACCACTAGCACTTTTAAATTGGTATTTTCTACCCCCACCTCCTCCTTATTCATATCTTTCTCAGTCTCAAGCAGCTTTTCATTTGGCCTTGTCTTGAGTGCTTCTGGAGAACACTGTGCAGATAATTAGATAATTAGCCCTTTGTTATTTCTTTTGGAACTGTGAGAAATGATTTTTAGCAAACTGCAACAAACATTAAAGGGGTAAATTGATGGGAACAACTTGTGACAATGGAAGGAAGAAAAGTTTGGAATGTGATATTGGAAACCTGGTGTTTGGTCATTCACAAGAATTATTCATCCAAAACAAGGTCCTTGATTTTTAAAAAAGGAAGGCCACTGATAACTGATGCCAAGTCATTCTTGCAGAAGGAGGCATGTGTTACAACAGGTATTAAAGAATTTCAAGAATAAAACAAAAATTGGCTGCCTGCAGGTTACCTTGTTCCAGGAAGGGTAAAGAAATCCTCCTTGCTCAGGGAGTTATTCTCTAAATTCACACTGCAGTTCAAGACAGTGGAGCTGTTGCTCCTTACTGAGAAACTGCTTATAATGAATAGCAGATTCTGCAACATCTTCCTAATGCTGCAATGAACATGCACAATTAGCATTATTCCTTTAACCCTTATTTCAGATACTGTGGGTTGAGCATAACCCGTCTATATGGCTCATTCAAGCAGATAATTAAAAAGAGTTAAAATATTAATTCCCAGCCACACACAAATGCAGAGCTTTACCAAATACCTTTCAAAAATAGTTTGGAATTTAAGTTGTAGTTTTAGTTCAAAGCTCTGCTGTTATCTGTAATTTCATGTTACGAGGCTCTCTATTTTTCCACAGGAGATTTTATTTTGAAGTGCTGGAGAGTTAACTCAGTATCAAAGCACTCACCAGTTGTCTACATTCATATTTGAGTGGATAATTTCATCTAGAATGAGAAGGGTTTTTTTCCACTTGTTTTTCCAGCATTAGCTGTTCTGGAGCTTTACTCTTTGCTGCTTAACTTTTTTTAAATATCCATAGAAACGAGGGAGAAAAGCCCTCAAAACCTGTCATATACCACTCCTAGATATTTGTCTGTTTTTTTTTTTACTGAGCTAGATTGTTTTGCTAAGTAGTTTGGTTATGTAGGCAAGGTTTCTTTCTAATCTTCCGTCTGATTCAGTAAAGAGAAAATGCACTCAGCTCTTCAAGTTGTGTTTCACAACACGTGCTGGGGGATGCATAACCCAAGAGGAGGAAGAACAAAATGAATAGCTGGAGACTTTAGAGAAGTAGAAAGAAGTGCCTTATGCAGAATTTTGTGCAGACAGGCTTGCTATTCCCATTGAACTTGAGTAACATGGAGTGAGAGAAACCTTACTTATTTCTAGAAGAGGATCGTGCAGAAATGCGTTGTGAGACTGGTTACTATTAGTTCCCCTAGTGAGCTGTGTAGTGCTGCTTTAATAAAAATAACTACTGTCTCTCAGGACAAAATTAATTCTCTTGATTCCTGTTTTACTTGCCTTCTGGATTTGAAGTAGGCAGAAGTACAGAGGAATGCTTTTAATAACAGGTTTTCTGCGTACATAATAGAACTACCAATTGTTAGGCAGGAGATGCTGAAAATCCTGCTCCTGGTTAGAGTTCATCTAAAACGGCTGTGAAAAGCAGCTATGTTAGTATGTAAATGTTCTCCTTTGAACTGTTTAATATTTAAAATACCCTGTGAAAGATGACAACTCTTGTGTTGCTTGATTTCTGAGACCTTTGTTACATATTAATACTTCTTTCAATTTCAGGAAATTCAATCACATTTGTGAACAAACGCGATTCAAGAACTGAATACTTGTAGTCTGTAGTGAGGGGACACAAGCTTGTCATACTGCTTGTACAGTTTAAGGTTTCAGGGGATCTTCTCATTTCTCCCGTAGCAGGGAACCAATAACTTCTGCATCAGGTAATCTGAAATGAACTTCTGAATTTGTAGAATTTGACAACTGTAAACGAATGAGGTAGGTTGTTTTTTCCAAGAAAGTCCAGCAAGCGTTGCGTTCCATTCTCATGACTACAACGTCCCTGTGTCACTTCACTGAAGAACACAAGCAGAAATCACTCACACAGAAACCAGCCATATCTTGGGAAGGCCTAAGAATAAGGAGTGTATTTGCACTACTTGTGAAGAAACTAAGAATAATCCTTAAACTTAAAAAATAGAAATGTTTTGTATAAGTATCTGAAGATTATTTCGAGAGCCATTAATATTTAAGAAGGAAATTGTCAGTGTATATTTGTAACTGCATTTTGCGGTGCTCTGCTATTTTGTCACTACTCACGGCCTTTGGACTAGAAATACATGAACCTTCACTGAAAAAAAGAAATCCATCCATGCAACAACTGTTTTAGCTTAAAGCTTGTACCATATGTGCAGTGTTATGGTGGAAGTAGTACAGTTTCTTATCTTAGTTTTGTCATATTGATGGGTTTTATTCACATTAAATTACAAAAAGGAATTGCACAAAAATTTGAAAATTGCATTTAAAATTGGGGTAATACTTGAAGCAGAACAGCCTTCTGCTAATATTACTTCTGTAGTATTTTATATCAGAAGACCAAACAGTGCTTTTGACATAGAGCAGCAGCCAGTAGGACACACTGGTTCATTTTTTGTATTTCCTTTGATATTGTATGCTAAGTATGTACCTCTGCCATGCAGCTGTTCTCTAGCATGCATACACTGGTGAAAATGTAGAAAAGGCTATAATTTAAAACAGAATATAGCAGCTTTACTGGAGAAAGCAATCTTTCAGAAAGCAATTGACAGATTGTAGCAATATGGAGGCATTTCTAGCTTGGGGTAAGAATGATGAAGGGGGACGCTGGTATTGCTGTCATCAACAACATAGCTTTTATTTTCACACCTTTTGGAGAGCTTGTTCCAGAAACATCCCATGCATCACTTCAAAAAATATCCCAACGCTATTCCTCCCCCCCTCCACTTCCTGCCAGTTAATATGATTTAATCTATCTCAAAGTAACTTGGTAGTTAATGTTCACAAAGCTCTACTGGGACCAATTTCTCTCTTTCATCATACTTAGACTGAAACAGAATGAGAAGAAAGCATACCACGTTACCTCTGTAGATACCACGTTGTTTTTAAGTATGCCTTATTTTGTCAGTAGGATTTATACTTCAATATTAAAGCGTACACAGCTGTCTTGTGACATAATGGAGCACAAATGATGCAGCACATCTACTGGCGTCAGTGAGTTAAACGATCTGCAGTAACGCACACCTTCATGTGAATGCTAATTAAAATTATGCATTTGTGTTTAGATTTTTATTTTTCAAATAGCTGCCGCGAGGATGGGTCTGCTGACCACACCTGTGTGCTATTAAAGATACACTTTTGTGTGGACTTCTCTTCTTAATCTCTGGGCATTTTCTCCTGTGAGTAGGATTGAAATTGGATCTGGAATAATACTTGAAACTTTTTAACAGCATTGCGTTTCTGTCTTTTAGTATTATTAACAATGTTCTGTTGCTTCTGTATTTGTATTTTATGTTTAGATTTTTTTTAATGGTTATTGTTATCTTCTCAGGACGACCATTCCCAGCTGTTTTTATCTCATTTTTCATCTCTGGCTGTGCATGTAGCAAAATGAGTGCAGTTGTGGAGATCAAGCCTTTGCACATTATATGCAGAAATGTGCTTTGCATTCTCATTCACCACTTCCCACACCCCAGATGGGCTCTCAGCACAGACTTGTCACTGTACTAGTATTCAAGCCTCTTGTGCTGAGTTGGGTTTTTTTGGTCAAAAATCATGTCTGCAGTACTATGTACAACCTCACTTGCACTTCAAGTTATGTTTATATAAGGATATATTATGTGACAAAAAAAAAAAACCCTGAGAAAGAAATTGAACCGATGTACTTAACATCTAAAGTACCTGTGCAGTAGAGGTTCTTCAAATTCCCTTCAAACAACTTTTTGCTGTTACAGACAATTGATCTGCCTTTCTATGCATATAGGGTTGTGGTAGTGCAATGGAATGAAGGGATTCTTTTGTCACTTATATTGTACCAGGACCAGATGAGAAACTAACTTGCAGATGGGGAGGGTGAATAAATCCTGATCTTTATATGCTCTTACATAAGTAAGAGTATCTGTCATGGGTATTACATACTCTATACACTAGACCTTTTTAAATGTATGGTTACCAGATGATAGTTAATGTGATAAATGTATGAACTATGCTTGGTGTAATTGTTTAAATACTGGAAAGGTGCAGCATATTTTTTAACCTGTCTAAAGCACACCCCCACCTCCTTTATAAGAGATACTTGGAAGCTGAGCATGAAAAGTGGTAGAATAGATGCTGTGAAAGCCAGGGTGATTATGATAGGCTTTGGCATAGTGGTGAATAAAGTACATAGTCTCTTTGAGAGAGTTCTTTTATAAAGAAGGTGGAGTGTATTTCTTCCAGTTGTCTTTGGGGTTTTTTTCCTGAACTAAGAAGTTATTAATTAAAAAAACTTTAAAAAAAAAAAAAAAATCACTGGAGTAATCTGTTTTTTTTTCTTTGTGGCACGTTCTCTCACCACAGGCATGGATGTGTCAGTTTTTCTCATGATTGGTCACGCTATCAGTCTCTTGAATGTTGAAATTGTACAATGGAATCTCATCCTTGAACTTGTACTAACTAAATAGAAGGTCTTTTTTTGGTCCTTCACAGAAACTCCCCCAAACTTTATTACAGATGTCTCACTGTATTGTAAAGGATCGTGAGTCTGTCTGCAGGACTGATAACAAATAACACCTGTTTAAAGACAGGACCTCCATGTCTGTAAAAAACAAGCTCACTTAGTTTTTTAATGAACTGAAACTGAAATTCCTACAGTACTGTAGAGACTGAACTGACAGCATTATGTAACGCGGCTCATTTAAGAGCAGGGTAGAGAAAATGTCATACTGTGTTAATCTTTATACCTTCTGCATTTTCAATGATCTCATTTGTATAAATGATAAGATTTCAAATAATATTAATAGTACTTTTTCTTAGAACTTTATTCTCGCTGTGGAAATAGGAGTTCTGTACCCTCATTCTGTCTGATGCTGCAGGCAACGAGGCTGTGAGTTGCACTTCAAATTGCAGCTTAGCATCCCAGGATCTTTTGCACTGCTGCTGTTCCTGCAATTGAAGCAGGATATCCGTTACTGTTGTAGTCTTATCTGAACTGCTGTTCTTAAGCCAGCTGTCATTTCTTCTTCAGTCTAAATTTAAAGAGATTAAAACTTGTGGTTCAGTAATACGAAAGTGCTATATTGTTCTGTATGCCATCAGACAAACTAATAGGCCTTAGAACTCATGGTACTCAAAAGAGGCTTGTTTTGCACTAATATTGCTGGATTGAAACATTCTGTACTCCACTGTGTCACAGAACTACCTGTAACTAAATTACTTTGAGAAAGCTGTTCATTTTTTTTTTTTAACCTAATGCTCTATCAGCTCTGTCAAAGCTCAGTCATTAACTCATTCATCTTGCAAACAAAATACATCCAGTTTAGATCCATTCTTAACTTCTAGTAGAACTGTGTAGTACAGATGGCTTAGCTTACAGTGAGAGCTTAAGGAAATAAGTGATTCAAGAAAGAGTGAAGAATTTGAGAAGAGAATTTGAGAAGAGAATGCTCTGGTTTAAATTATGATCTGATTTATTTTTTTTTTAATGGCCTCTTACAAAATTCTGTTGGGAGGGGGCTTTATTTTGTACGGCCTGCTCCAAAAATAAGCCATCAGCGGTGATATTATTGGAAGTTGGAAGAAGGATCTCTTGGTTTTGAAAGAAAGTGTGGGGGGTTTTGCAGGTTTTCCATTTTATCTAACTTTATTTCTGCAGGATGCTTGGAACTCAAACACCACTTACACAATTCCGAGGAAAAACTTCTGAAGAAACTAATTATACTATTTCCCATAGCAATGCTTAATATGCAAAGATTGCTTCTAAATCTGCTTTTCAGGTCATTCTTCTTTTCTTCACACTTCGCCATTTTGACTTTCAATGAGGTAATTTCACCCTTAAGCTCATTAGTTTCCATAGGAAATGAATTATAAAAAATGCTAAGTGTGCCATATGAGGTTTAACATCAAAGACGTTTCTAGGCAGACCATGAATATACGTTGAAGCTATATTTGGTCTCTGAGTCTCCTCTCAGTCCTACTGAGTTTCAGTTGCTTGCTTTCGTTAGGTAAGTGTTGGCTTAGGACTTGCATTTCTTCCTTGCGATCCAAATTAATCTTTAATTATTTAGAATAAGAGGTGGTCGTTGACTGTGCGGAGTGGTTAAATCCACTGTGTTTAAGTTATTACTCACGTGCCCTTCTCACGGAGGAGGGAGAAAGCTGGTTGTTTTCCCATCAGTGCTCTGTGCTGAACTACCTGGCAGTAGGAAACCTAGTGTACAGGATTCTTGTCTTTTGTACAGCTTCAAGCTTTTGTTCTGAAGCTCTGTATCCAACAATGGAATAAGCAAGGAATGCCCCCAGTCTTGTTTTGTTTCTTTTTTTAATGTCCTATTCAATCTATGTAACACACTGAAGGGAGCATCTGGCATATTCCAGAATAATTATATTTTAAAAATACTGGATTTGAATAATGTACACTATAACTGAAAAGTGCTCCTTTCTGTTAGATCCTATAACATTTTAAGACATCTTTCCCATGCAGTTGTGATTGAAACTTCCCTTCTCTTCAGCGAGTGTTTAGCATGCTTATCCCATTTGCTGCTTAGTTACAGTATGCAAAGGAGCACAATAAAGTGACTGTACTACCACAAAGGTAAAACTGAACCCAGAGTCCATGAGCTGTGGGGTTTTCTGTCGTGAGAAGATTGTGACGCGTCCCTTAAAATAACAGCAGTTAGGAACAAGTGCTGTAGGAGTGTCATGTGTTCAAAATTAATCTTAGTTGGTATTTGCAGGTGGAACTACAACAGCACTCAGAGCTTCTGTTTTTAAGTTGTGAAGAATTTCAAAATGGAGGAAAATCTCTTTCAAGTTCTTTGAAGGTACAAAACAAAACATACTGACATCTTTAGCAGTAAGTTTTAGTGATCTGTCTAAAAAAAAATAGGAGCTTCAAAAGCAAGCCGGGAATTTAAGCTTCAGTCTCCCATATGCTGTGCTTCTGTTTGCTCATGGTTGACTCTGCTCTTGGGTTACAAAGGTGTGTATAGAGAAAGTCAGTGAGTAAACGACCTCAGTAGTTATGTTACTGAGGAGAAAACCACGCTCTAAAGCTTGGGCTTAACACAATGCTGCAGTGGTGGCACTGGTGTGCATCAGGGCACGTCTTGGTGCTCTGGGGCAACGTCTATCCAACTTAGCATTTCAGTAAAATAAATGTCATTACATTGCAGAAATTAATAGTTAAACATACTTTTATTGGAAAAAAAAGTCACTTTCCCAGCCCATCACATGTAGGTATTCTCAATAACTGAACACAGTTACTTTTTCAGAGTAGATTTTAGTACTTCAATCTCTAGAAATGTAATAAGTAACGTAACATTGACTCTGTTTTACAATGTGTATGAATTTAACACAGTGGAAATCATTAGATATTTCGAAGCCTGCAGTATTCTTTTTGTCATAAATATATTAATTCATCCCTCTCAATTATGTTACATTAATTTAAAAATAAAGCAAAGAACTTAGAGACAGACTCTTATGCTTCAAAACTATTCAACGCCATCTGGTAATAATAAATGCTGAGGTTTGTCTGCTGTTTGTTTGAGTCAACTGCTACAAGGCATGTTTTTGCTGCCACTGTTACTAGATGCAAGGCTTATGTCTGTGTAGACACATACACGAAGTATTAGGCAAAACCTACAGTCTTGTGTTGCATATCTCAGACATTAATAGGTGGCAGATGGAGGCTGTAACAGCAGGTGAAATCATAAATAATTCAGTTAAATATTCCAGGAATCAGACTTAAATGCTTTAACATAGAAGGATTAAGATGACTCACTTGTCACACACTGTAGCTAATACGGGAGACTTGTATGGGAGATTTCTTCCTGGCACCTGTTCAATAATATAATTTGCTTTAAAATAGTATCTTATGTCAGCTGTAAAATACAGCTTCCTAGGGGATTTTTTTAATTTTTTTTTTTTTAAAGCAAAATAATTCTAAATTGTGAGTTAAATATGCAAAATTCTTTAGCAAAGACAGGAAAATGTCACCAGAAGGTAATTACAACAGTGATGGGATTATTAAAGGCAATAGGACAAGCGAGCTTCCCTTTGGTTCTGTGCTCCACTGACTGCCCTGGATTTGTAATCAGAGTGGCACAGGTACTTATTTTCTAAAAGAAAAAAAAGAAAAAAAAAAAAGAAAAAAAAAAATCACTCAAAGTTTGCTGTATTTGATTTTGCCTCTGAAGTCTTGCCTGCAAAAGGAAGGGAAATAGTTCTCCAGTCAGTGTGCGTTACCAGTAATAAATAGTTGGTGAATATAGGATCAGAGCAGCTGCAAATATCCAAGTGTTGGATGCTGAGGACTGTTCCTAATGAGTATTTCAGTATCTTTGTACACGTGTTCCTGTTGCCAGGAGGAGTTGCTTAAAAATGTAGCGGACTGAGGCACTGTAAGCTTATGTAGATCTAACAGAAATAAAGCTAGATCAGGCTTCAATAAAATTAGCACAGTAATACAGTATAGTTTTGCTCAGCTTATCTGTACTCTTCTTTAATGAGTTAGTATGTGAGATAATCATGATTTTCAGTATTAGAGATGTTAATGCTTGGTAAACTTTGTGCTAGAGTGCAGAAGTTATGAAATGTTTAGAACTGTTTACAAAACAGTATGCAAACGTGCAAGAGGAATTCTAATTTGAACAGGCACACCTATGAGCACAATTTAACTCATAGCTTCTACCAGAAGGACTCAAGTGGTACCACAGTGACACAGGACTGACATTTCAGATATAAACCATGATGTAACCATCTCAAATGACTTTCATATCTCATTCCAGACAAGATTTCCTGCATTGTGAAATACCTTTTCAGATGCTTTCATGAATAAAGCATATCAAAATTCCATGCAGAAGAATAGGTTTGAGGTTAATGAGTAAAAGGGAGGATGGTGTAGCTGTAATCCCAGTGGTGAGGCAAAGACTATTCTGTGAACAAAGCTGTGTCCATGTATAGCTGTCAATCACACAACTGCTTGGCACTGCTTCCACTCTGTTCGTGTGCCTGCTGCCTCTCTTTTTGTGAACGGGTGATTCGGTCTTTCTGAGAGTATCACTGGACTGAAGCTTGACATAGTGTAGGAGCAGCCAGGGTATCAAAGTTCTGTGAGGTCTCACTACTATTAGCATCTACAACTGATGAGCTCTGCTGGTCCCTGGAAGAGTTAGGGACCTTCACCTGACCTTTGTACAAACCAGGAGATTTTGCCCAGAATGGAAGATTTGATGTTGAACTGGCAGAACTGTTGCCCTCCACAGTCAGAACCACTGGTTGTTTATCTGGCACTGTTACTGCATACACAGCATTTGGTTCAGACAGATGATCTCCACATTGACTAAGATGTTCAGCTAGGACCAGAGGCTGCTGATCATCTCCTTCTTCAGAAATGACAAAAACTGGTTTGTTTTTATCTGCTTCTCCCCCAAGGTCCTTTGTTTTTGAAGCATTGGCCAAGTTGATTTTCAAGGGGTTGGAGCTCTCTAGAGCGCTCTTGGGGCTTTGGCTGTTAACTGGAGATGCTGCCCCTAGATGTCTGGAGGAATCCAAGGACCTCACGCGTTTGTTGTCAGGGGAACCAGCTAAAAATCCAAAGTAATGATTTCCAAACCTGGATTTCTTCAGGTTGCAGGAGCTTAGCTTCCGCTGCCTTTGTGCAGACAGAGTGAGGGGGTATGAGGCATTGCTGACAGATGAATCGGAGTAAACCGTTTCTGAAGGTCCCTCTATCTCGGTGGCTGAAATCACCTTTCTGGTTGGAACACCTTGGATTCTTGCAGCTGTAGGAAAACCCTGGGCAAAATAATAATAAATTAGTAGTCATGCTTTGAAAAGTAACTCTCTTAAAAAGCATTGATCCCAAGGGAACTAACTGAAAGTTTAAATTCCTTGTTATGGTACAGGTAAGATATTTTCTTCTGCAAAAGTCTGTTACCACCATCAAAGAACATCCTCTATTATCTTTGTAACAAGCTCTGTTGCTTTGATGGCAATGGTCAGTGAGACCTATATATATATCCCATGTCTACAGATTCTTTACTATGCAATAGCAATATGTCAAATTTAAGGTGTCACCAGGGGGAAAAATATATATATATATATATATATATATATGTTAGAAAACTCAATGAATGCAGCTTCTTAGCACTTCAGGAAGGCCAGAGTAAATTACAATAGAGTTAGGCAAAAGAATTCCCAGTACACTAAGCAAGATGGGCCAAGATGTGTGTTGTACCTGCAGGTTAGAGGAGCAAAGTAGGGGCACTGAAGCTGATCACCCCATGCTCTTCTCCTAGCAAGACTTACACTGTTGTCAACCAGCTTTGTGAAGGGGCTGTTGGTGGTCCAGCTACACCACTTTTTTTGTAGCTGTGGTATTGGAGCCAGGAAGTCATGGAAAGTGCGGGCACTCCACGTGCGTTGCCTGGGATGGTGATTCTCCGTCTGCACGTTCCTCTTCTCAACAGCATCTGCTCCTGCGGCCGTGTGACCAGGCGTCACCCAGTCAGACACGGAGCCTGGGCTTGTGACACTTCTTTTTAGGTTTTTGTCCTGCAATAGTAAATCAGTATCGTTAGCAATGTCTTTTGTCAACAGGTTTTAAAAACACATTAAAAAGCGACTTCTACTGCAAGCAACCAATTTTTTCAGTGGTTCTTTTTCTCAAGATAAGACACAGGAATGCAACTTGTTTCTCTTTCAACATGCTGCCTTGGAGTCAGCGGCTTCCCTGAGCAGCAGTTTTACCTTGCTCCTTCAATTTCAGGTTTCATGTTGAATTGGGAAATTCCGCTTATGTAAGAAACAGAATCCTGCCACTAACTGCATATCCAACACAATGAAGCTCTAGCTATTTTATGTGTCTGACAGATTACAGTACTAAACGTTGCTGTGCAAAACATAATTCCTCCTCTCTGCTTGGCTCTTGGAAGGCTCCAGCTGCATCTTTATGGGGAACATTCCCCCAGGGTGGGAGAATGAGGCCCACTGAAAGAAATTTAGAAGCAAGAGACTTAGAAGTCTAAAAAATGCATAATTCAAGAAGAAAGACTGAAGTAAGTGGTGTTCTTTAGTCTCAGTTTTGGAAGAACTAAAGCAATAATAAATTTTTTTTAAAGGCAGTAATCTGTTCTCAGTGTCTGTGGTAAAAGGAACGAGACACAAGGCCCAGAGTGGAGCCAAGGGGATTTTCAGTTCACATAGGAAATGTTTTTTTGGGTGGAAAACATGCTTTACCAGGAGCATAAGATGTCTAGACAGGTGTAAAATTGGCAGTCAGGAGCTGAGCACGTGAAATCATTCTCACCAGCTCTATGTATGAGAATTGCCCTGACACAGGAATGAACTATGGCAAACTTGTAAAGGATCCCATGCTTACTTACTGTGTATGTTCCTATATTGATTTTAAAATCACAATTTTTCTTCCTAAAATGTATGTGGTTTTAGAAGCAGAAAAGGTAAAGAATGCCTCATGGTCCTATGAATCTCTTTCTGTGCTCGCTAATGCTTCACCTGTTGTTAATATAAGCCCCTTGTTCCATAACTCTGCACGTATTTTTAATTTTCAGCTGTGCGAACATGGCTGTCATGAGAAGAATGCAAAATCCACATTCCTAGAGTTTACACATTTCTTAAAAAGAGTCTGAAATAAATCCCACAGTGTCCTGGATTTAAAAGGTCGGAGAGACAAAAAGCTTCTCATTTGTTATTTCTGATAAACAAAATCTCCCAAGTTTCCACAAACCAAAGAAACTCTTTCCTTACAATGTCATGTTGGAAAAGGATGGGCAGAGAGGCGAGAAATGAGCTTCTCTGCAGGAAGCTGGCAGAGGTTCTATTCATGCTCTGGATAAATTTGTTTCAATGTTAAGTTCTTAGTCTTGGGTTTGATTAAAGTAACAGTCTTTATATAAATGCATAGTAATTCAGCTGTCTTCTTCTGAGAAGCCTCTTTAGGCTATTTAGGGTTTATTATTTTGGTGATTTCGAGACAGTTGCACTGGAACAGCTACTGAGATTAATAGCGTACTTTCTAGATTTTTAAAAATCTTTTAGCAAAAAACATGTCTGAAGTACCCAAAACCTACTCATCTGACACTTGTCTGGATAGAAGGCAGATCGTAGCTGTAACCTAGCCAAAGGCTGAGTGATGCTTTAAAACAAACTGGGCATGTAACTAATGAAGAACGTCCAAAGGAGGGCTACAAAGGTTGTGAGGAGGGCAAGGTGTGTGGGCAGCACCTGCAGGCCTCTGCTTGTTCAGCTGGAGTAGAGGAGGCTGAGGGCAGCCTCACGGCCCTGCAGCTCCTCACGGCGGCTCTTTGTAGTTGCTTTACTTAAGTGAGCATTTGGGGTGAGACGAATCTGAAGACGTTATTTACTGTGCCCTACAGACTCGGGGTTTCACACATCTTTCCATGTGAGGATTACTTCCCAGTTCCTGCCTGCCCGGTGCTGGGCTGCAGACACTGGGCCGCGCACCCGGCTTCTGCAGGGCTCAGGGACAAAACTCAGGAGCTGGGTGGCCAGCTGAGATGCATCTCACACCCTGAGAATTCACACACCTGGAAACTAAATTGTGAACAGAACTCATTTTTACCTCTAACATTCAGTAGCCCTCCGTTATCCTAGCTGGAGTGCAGGTGTGCAGATGGCCTGCTGGGCCCAATCTCTGCCCCCCTCAGAGAGGAGGGCCTGCAGCTGTGCTCAAGGAGCCCGTGTTTCTAACCGTGGCCCTTCACCCTTCCCAGGTATGTTTTTGGATCTTCTGAGGGTTTAGTACTGCTTCCTTGTATGCAAAAACACATAACAGAAGGAACAGCCTTCTGAGTTGATACGGTGGCGGATCACTTTAATCCTTTGGTTATGTGCTCTTAGAATTGCTTGAATGCTATATTGTGTGTATATATACACATAAGTCTGCTATGCGTACTTGTGTTTTGTTTTGAGCATTTCTTCCTTCTGACTAGCGAGGGGGAAGAGGAAGGAAAATGGGTTTTTCTCCTTATCCAGAAACTGTATTTGTAAGTGGTTGCCACACGGTGAAGCTCTCTCTGCTGGAAAGCAGGACCAAGAAGTAGAGGGGTTCAAGAGTGCCTGATCTGGGTGCTGATACAGTGCATGTGCTGTGCTCCTCAGAAAGCAACGTGCTTCAGTCAGGCAGAGCACCGGAGCTTTTTCCTATTCTTGTCTTTCTTTGCTGTTAATCAGTGTGGTTGATTGGAGGAGGAGTTCAGCATATGTCTTGTACTAGTGAGAGAAATTTCTAATCAGCCTGCATCCGTGGGTAACTTGCTAATCAACTTCAGGGATACAGAATGCTGTTGCTCTGTAATCTGTGATTAGAAACATTAGGTGGACTGTCTTGGGGTAGGCGAGCTCCTTACAATGGTTCTTTCCCCTCTTGTGGGGGAAAAAAAGGAGGATGTTGGACAGTGTTGACCTGGAAAGGTTTTAATGTAGACTTGAAAAGAACTTGCACTGATAATCGCTAACTTGTGATGAGGAGAGTGCTCAGAAGTGTCAGATCTGGCTGCTATCATCTACTTCTAAGTAAGTGATTAGGAGCGAAGAGGAAGAAGCTAAAATAAGGAAGGTTACTAAAATGATCTAGGTTTGTGTGTGTATATTTGAAAGGGTGCCAATGCTTTCCCTTTAAGGGTTTGGTTTTTAGAATAGATGTTAATTCTTCATGTGAGCTGGGGAGACAGTGACAGAACTCTCTGACAAACTGAGAAGCTGAACAACTTGCCTAAACACTTGGTAGTGGTGTGCAGGAACGGGTCTGGTCCTAGGTCCTTTGGCTGTTACAAGTGATCCTCAAAACTACATATTGTATTTAACGGAATACTATCTTTGGTAATTAACAGATATTTCTTGACAGCTGGTGCTTCAGCTTGGTGGCATATCTCTGCATTCTCTATTATAATATCCCAGGTGGACTTGTAGACCTGATCTTATGAAAGCTGAGAAGATGCTGGCTGAGGGATCACAGCCCACATGTTTTTGTAGCAGCTTTGCCTGATAGTTGGGAGAACTGCCTGGCTTGGTTGCTACTACTCCTGCAAACTAGCAAGCGTGAGTGAAGGAATGTGACAAGTGCTGTCCAAGAAGGACGCTGTGTGCCTTGCTATGTCTCTAGTGATGTCTAGGAGCGTTCTTACCTGTATTCTGTAGGTAGTAAAGCTCAGTCCACTGGCTCCAGGTCCAGCAGAAATAATAAACACTTCATCGCTCCCTGTCTCAGTGGTCACTGCAGAGGTGGAAGAGGGCACGTCTGGGTCAGTATCCTGAGGAGACTGATCTGTGCTGCCTGTGCAGGAAGTGACTGAGAAGAGAAAATCCATGTAAAAACAACTGAGAAGAGTCCAAAGCGTCTGTTCCTAGCTCCTCTATGACAACTGCCTTTCCCTCTCTCCCCAGACAAGCTAGAGCCACTTCAAGCTGTCACACCGGTCAGAACTAAGCTCAGACCAAGTTTGCTCTCCTGAACATACAAGCTTTTAAAAATAAGACGGAGGGGGATGAGGGGAAGAAAGGAATGACCTTGAGTCTGCCGTTTGATAAAGACAGACCCAAACTGAAATCCACCATACGATATGCACAAGCTTTTCCTGCAGATCAGATTTTTTTTTTTTAATCCAGATTTACTCAGTCCTGATAATGGCGAGCTCTGCTTTTTCTCTGAAGTGCAAGCATTTCCTGCTTGAGCCCTGACAATGTTGCTCCCACAGGCAGCCGTATGCTGCAGGTATATGCACCTGCTTGCATCCTCAAGGCCTAATCCTATGGTCCAGGCCAGGATATCTCTGCCTGTGGCTCCTGGCTGTGATCCTCTCAATGATCTTTGGAAGCAAGTAATTAGCTTTTGAGGAAGATGCGGCTTTGAGAATTGTGTGTAAAAGCTGATGGTCTAGTGGGAAACTGATGGTGTGTAGCAATGTATTGTGAAGTGGTTCCTTGTTGGCCCTCCCCCAAAAGGAGAGCTAATAGAATTCATTGATTGTAACTCAAAATTGCAGCAAGTGACGTTATCTGCAGCTTGGCTGGGGAACTCCTGCTCTTGTTTTGGAAACATGCACCTAAGGCAGTCTCACTTGAAAAGCCCTTCAGAAAGTCAGCTCCAGCAGTCAGATATGTCCAAAGCCAATGTAAGCATTATAAAACTCATCCCTTTCCAGGCATGGTTAAGCATGGGGCAGATGAGCCATCCACAATTTAGGGATTATTATAAGCTGCCGTTGTAGCAGCCTGAAGCACACACATTAGCTCTGCTAACCCAGTGTCTCTGCAACACTGTGTACTAGGACGGCTTCTGCTGGCAGTGTCCTGAAGCTGTGCCCGTGTGCTCCTTGCCAGGGGAATTGCCGTCCCAGGGAGGGGGGAGAGCACAAGGGATATTCCCACAACAAAGCCTTTCTGCTGTCAAGCAGCTCTCCAGCTGTGCATGAGCGAGGCGGGTGGGGAGAGCAATGGTCTGATTAGCAGGCCAGGGCCGCGGGGTGCCCTGACCTGCTGCTGGGGTGCGCCGCGCTTACCCGCCTGCTCCCGGCTGACAGAGTGGTTGTTGTTTTCATTCTCCCGACTTGGCACCACGAGCTGGAGCTCATTGATATCAACAGCGGAGTTCTGGATCCCATTCTACAACTCAGAACATGCCCCAGTAAACATTGTCAGATAAACAGTGCAACAGCCAATATGAAAGAGAGAAACAGAAATTGCTGAAGCCATTAGCACTAACCTCCTGGTCACCGCATACGTTGGATGAGCTCCTTTTGGGGCACGTTCTCTGCCTGAAAAGGAGAGACAGCAAGAACAACAACAAGCCCACGAGTGAGTTAGACCCAGAGAAGGGAAGGTCTTGGCTCATGTAGTGGGAAGTCAGCTGGAGAAGGACCTGTCTTCCTCCCATGATCACCACGAAAGTGGAAACAGAGTTCAGACCTCTTCGAAGTCCTGCCAGCCTTCCCTCCGTAGGGAATAGTGCATACTGATGTGCTTTTTCACATCAGTAACTAAATAGCAGGAATGAAATCCATTGGTCTGAGCAGTAACATTGTTCTTGCCCTGTTAGACTGTTTCATCGTGTGTAGTCAGTATTGCACTCTGTGTTGTATTTAGCAAGCAGAGAACATCAGATGTTCATCTGCATGACCATTTTATTAAAAGGAATGGCTAGGGCAGATGATTACCAGCTAAATGTGCCTGCTGGACTGAAGGGAAACAATCATATTCATCTTTTTTTATTTTTTAGTTTTAAATATGAAACCACGAAATACAAGTGTTATTTACATACTGGGTGAATGTGATGTGAGGATGTCATGAAGAATAGCTGAACGTGATCATGACTGAAGCAGGAATATTTTGGTGTGCAGCTGTTCTTCATGCAACAGTGCAGAAAACAAGTGTTAATGCGCTATGTGACCTGTTACTATTTTTCTCTCATATCTATGGCTGGAGGGGCTGGTTTAAGGCAGTTAACATCTTCTATACAAAGTTTGTGGTGCCTTCTGAGGGGTGTGTTGAAGGCAAGATTACAAGTTTTCAGGCACCTTTTCATTACTACTTCTCTCTAAGACATGGGGGCTCAGAGGCTGCCTGGTAAGTCTGCCCAGGGGACAGGGACATCTGCTCCACCTTGGTTGTGGTGGGTTTCATTCTTTCACTGTATCACTGGAAGACTTAACAAATGATTATTGACTCTCAATTGAATTGAGAGAGGAAAAAAAAACCTGATGTGTCTCCAAGACTATTCCTAATGAATATGGAGGAGACTACAGAAAGGAGAGCAAGTTTGCACTTCAGCGTTTAATTCAGAAGGGATGCAGAGGGATAGCTGTTACCATAGGAGGCAAGATCCCATTGGCTGGGCTGAAGCAGGGGAAGCTCTTCCTTGGGTTTGTGGGGAGGGAGCAGAGAGATTTCCAAGGAGAAGAGGTCTTTCCTCATTGGAGAATTGAGATTAAGCGAAGAAGGAAATACTGCGCAAGTTCAAGAAAGATAGGAGAGAGGAGAGCCCTGTACCTCTCAGTTTAAATGAGGATAGAAAAGGTTAATGGGTTGGAATGTCCTCTTTTTAACTTTTTCTTCCCTCATTGTGGCTTGCTATTGATTCCACTGAACAGTTTGATTTCCTGTCAGAAACTAACTCATAGAAAGGCTAAAGTTATATAGATTCACTCCCCCAAAAATTTCTGATGGCAACTTGAGATTTGATTCCTTCTACTCAGAACTGTTGCCACGGTGTCTGGGGAGATGCTCACAAACTGTGAGACTTGGGCTATTGGACTTTCTTTAGCCCTCTCTCCAACTGGACTATGTCTCCACAGCATGCTGCAGTGCCTGGCCACCACGGAGGGGAGTGATTCAGATCAGAGCATAGCTCCTGCATATGAAACACCCAGTGTACAAATAGTTTGGTTTTCATCAGTCAAAAGAACGCGCAATTTAGAAACAAAAATTGCTTAAATCTTCCCAAGTAAAGCAAATATTCAAATCTGTTGAAAGCTTTGTGAAAATTGCCCTGTGCTCCCCTACCCTCTCCAGCCATCTGTGTTTCTAACTAAACTACCTCCAGATGAACAGAAGATGGAGGCCAGCTACAAACAGGCAGGTAGAGGCTTCTGGGTTTTGCCTACCATAAGGATGACAGAGAAAAACCTCTGTTTTTAGCCCAGAAGTGACTAGAATCTTCTAGGAGAGCGTTAAATGAGGAAGGAGAAGATCACGCTGCAGGCCGTGCATAGCAGGGTGGCATGTATGGAGTGAAATGGAACACAACGACTTGAGGAAATAGCTGTATGCAGAGAGGGGCTGTAATTGGAAACAGGTCACTGGCAGGCAATGCAGATGTAAAATGCAGTTGCAATCCACAGGTTGCAGCCATCAAGCAAAAGTCTGGCTGCATTGGATGGGATTAAAATTAAATAAGGTGGACGTGTCTCTTGTTCTTGGGGCTTGGGAAAGAAAATAAAAAATACCCCATTGCTTGAGCCAGGCCTCATGGCCAAAAGTAATTAGAATTATTGGCCAACTAACAACTGAAGCTTTCATTTCCTCCCCAAACAGCAAACAAAAGCTGCAGTGTGGTGGAGACTTGGAGTTTCCCCAGAGAGCTTTGCCCTGGCTGAATGCAATGAGCCTGAGCAGACACTGCTGACGACTTGGTGCATTGGAGTGGCAGCAGGTGCCAAGCTTGGCCCAAGGCATTTCTAATCCTGGCAAAGATAGCTCCCTGCTACTTTTAGCTGAGCAAGAGCATCACATAGAAATGGTAAAAAAACACTGCTAAATGCCAACGTGGTACCAGAGGAACAAGCAAAGCAGAGGAAAAAATGGGAGGCACGTTTACAAGGCCAAGAGCTTGAAGTTTACTCTTAGCATCATCTGGTGAGGTCTCCTTTGCAGTGGCACGTTCCAGCCAGGACAAGAATTGTCACACCTCGGAGAGCTGGTCCCATTTCTGAGTGCGCTGTTATCAAAGCATCTTCGCTTCTCCCCACAGCCCACCCTGTGCAGTCCTGGCATTTTCAGCAGTGAGGATGGGCTGTGGCTAAAACACACACAACACGTTATATCAAGCCAGTATCTAGAGCAAGAAGCATAAAATGCTTGCTGGGCTCAAATTAAAAGTTGTTTAGATATGCTTGATGGCCTCCACAGCCATATTCTGAGCTGCATTTCAGGAGAATCAGTTGGAAGCTGTAGGTTAGCTCCAGCCAGCACCAGCAGCACTGGGGCCAGAGAGCAATATCCTCAAAGTATTGGAGCAGCAAAGATGGAAAAAGCATTTTCTGGTGCAGCCTCAGTGAGGCTGCTCAGCACAGGGCGCGGTGTGACGCTTCCAAACATGTCAGATCTCACATGCTTTTTAAAGCAAGAAATAAAAGTGTAATGTCATCGAGGCCTCTCTAGAACAGTGCACAGAGAACACAGGCAGCCAGGTTAGCAAAGGGCTTCCTCTCAGGAGGCGATGGATGTCTATGTCTATGGACAGTCTCCTCTATATACAGTCAATATCTAATACATCTCCCTACCAAATAGAAGTGGTAATGGAAGGGCAGCCATGCAGATGTCACCAGAAGTGAGCCTGTCCCTGGTGCTGTGCCACAGCGGCCGTGGTAGGATGTGCTCAGTGATCAGACTGCGTGACATTTGTGCAGGGTGAAAAAGGCATTCAGTTTTCTATGCTGGTCAACAATAGCATGCTTTGCATGCTTTGCAAATATCTGAGAAGCAGAAAAGCAAATTGTACACTAGAGCAGCGTGGCCTGACTTTCTGAGCAGTCTGCACGGGGCACCTTTCAGGCAGTGGAAGCTCAGACTGCTGTGTGCTTTGGTTTGAATAACATGCAGCTTCATGGATAGCTGCAGTGCAATTAAATGGCAAGAACTGCCTACTCAACATGTGCATCAGCCCAGGATGCTGCCATAGCAAAGCAGAGTGTTTCTGCTGCTTTTGAAATTTGGCAAGGGTATAAAAATAATTTAGTGTCTGGAAGACATTTTCCACCAGACGTTTTCCTTTAGAACCAGCAAAAAAATGTAGTCTAAATTAGTGTTTGGCAAGGTCTTTACAAAGGAAGGTTAGTCAGATGTAGCACACGTAAGATTAACTCTTACAACTATGAAAAGCTCAGATTCTGAAAGCAGGAATTTCTTTATGCAGCAGGAGTTTATTTGATTCTAAGATTATTAAGATTATGTTTAGGCTCCTCCACCTCACTCATGTTTTCTTATTCTGAGTATGGCAGTGGCCTGTATTTTGTGTTTATTCAGCACAGCTAGTAATGCAAATCCAAAATCACACAAAAAACAATGTTCCCTTCTCAACCCAGCCTCAGTTATAAGCAGTTGCTGGGCCACTCTGAGACCTTCTGGGTTGGAAGATGCACAGGGCAGAGGATGCAGGAAGAGGGGACAGACAAGTTGACTGGTGCCACTGAGAAATAAGTGCTATCACAAACAGCCACTCACCCCATCAGAGCCCTGCAAGGGATGGTGTTTATTTCACTTCTCTGATGCTCCCAGTGCAGTCAAAATATTTGAAAAACACCATTTTGCAAAAACCTGGGGAGCTCCTGCTTTGTTTTGCATTCGTTGGAAGGAAAAATAATGTTTTCATAAGAGTTACCGAGAAAACAGCAAACATAAGCTGGGGTGTGGAGAAGCTTTTTCCTGATAGACACATTGGGAGAAAACAAATAAAAGCAATTGAGTGGAGAGGAATGCTTTTGTCACTGGCTGGTTGTAGCAGTTCAGTTAGGTCAGCCCCTGGGCCCAGTCCTTTCAGATGACATCTGGGGACAGGCACGGATAGCACAGCACTTTCCCAGGCAGGGAGCGGGCTCTGCAGGTACGTGCTCACCTTGTGAGTGCATGAGAATTAAAACATCTGTTACAACCTCTTGGATAAAACTCGCTTCAGATGGGGAAACACGAGGTAACTGCATCTTAATTCCAAGCGGCAGTATTGTAAGTTACTTATTTTTCTGCAGAGCATTAGTGATGGTTAGATTCGAAGTGAGAAGACGCAGGGACTGTCAGCTCGGCCTGCCTGGGAGATGTGGGGAAGCGTGCTCTCCGCCCTGCATTTGTCCATTGGCCACTATGGGCCCAAAACTGAGAAACAAGTATTGAAAGCAAGTAAGAACCAAGAAAGACCTCACCCTTCAGGTATTTCTGCAGGGGAACAAAAAGGAAGAAAAAAAAAGAATAAAAGAAAAAAGTAAATAAGAGGTACCAGAGCTGTAGAACTGGGAAAGAAAACTGTAGGCATAGGGCAGGAATAGAAACTGGCTTTAGTTTCCTCTACATCCATGCACTACTGCACCAAAAGGACAGCAAGCATTAGCAGGGCAAAGAAAATGTGCATTTGCTTTCTGGTTTTCCTGTCCTGTACAGATAATATCACATGCCTCAGAGGCTCAGACATCCATCATCTTACCTGCAAGCTACGCAGAGGGCAGAGAGCAAAGCAAGTACAAAGAAGACAGTCCCTGTTAAAATTGCCAGCATCAGTACGTTTTCCATTCTCTCCTGCCTCACAGCATCCATGGTGCTGGGTTCTGTGATGTTCTTGTACTCAAAGAGCATTGCGAAACCTCTGCCCCGGTTGGTGGTGGTAATGAGTTCCATGATAACCTCAACCATTTCCAGAGACGAACCAAAGACCATGGTCCTGTTTAAAGGTGAATTTGGTCCACAGAAACGAGAGGAAAACGTGATGAGATCTGAAACATACAGTACGTCGTGGGGACAGACATCCACTGCCGGCTGCTGGCTGGAGATTTCCACTGGCAGTATTGTTGTGGGAAGCGTCCAGCTCTCTCCCAGACTTTCATCTCTCTCACTAGCAGCTAGGTGGGCAAACAAAATATTGCCTTTCCAACCTTCTTTTGTTTCTTGGCCGCTAACGTTTTGCCTCTGTGTTCTGGCGCCATCGGAATCAGGTAATGGCTGTTCTTCTGTTTGAGTCTCCATAATCGCTTTGCGTTCCTTCATCTGTTTTGGCCGGTTTCCTTCGGACGTCTGTTTGGCTTCACCTTTCTTTGAGGCTGCTCCTGGAAGTTCGTCCAGGTGGCCAGGAAGTCCTTCTGACTGATCTCCTGCACCGCTCAGATTCTGAGCTGCCTTGGACGTCCAGCTCTGAAGAGAGGATTCTGTAGTCTGGAGAACAAAGTCCAGGTTTTCCTCGGGAGGAGTCACGTCCTTATTTCCTGTTATCGCAGCAGCTGGAAAGCCATCCCAGGGGGTTGGAGTTTCACTTGAGCTCTCAAAAATGTCAAAGTCAAAAATTTCCAAGATGAGATGCATTCTTATGGGAATGAAGAACTGCCAAACGCAGTGTGTCCCCGGGTAGTAGTTGTTTGGAAATCCTGGTGATAAAATCAGGCCTCTTTCCATTGACTCCACCACCGCGCCACAGGAATAATAGACCTGGCAAATAAAACAAATACACTTACTTCTTGCCAGAGACAACATACAGGACGCAGCATGCTGGACCTACAGAAGATCCTACCCCTTCCCTTTAGTGACTGGTGTAGACTTCTACAGGCTTCATGAATTCTGAGTTCCTGAGGCTATCTTCTGCTTGCACATTCAGAGCCTTAATCTCTAATACGGACAACCAGTCTCAGACTGTGAGAGCGCGTACTGAGCACACAGCTTCTGAGGAAATATAATCCAGATGAGCAATTCACACAGTGTTCATTTTCTATCCCTGTTTCAATTATAATAGCATCCCTTTCTGCTTTTGGCTGATGCACGTTCCCAGGTTACTGAATCCTGAATACATTTGTTGTTGACACACAACTCTTTGCTGCACAAATGTGTCATCCTAAACAGCTTGTAGTGTGATAAAAACCTTAAGCTGAAGAAAAACTGTGTCACTACAGCATCTTGAATTCTATGTTATTCTCATTACAAAACCACTCTTTTAAGTGCAACAAGGCCCTCGCACTGATGATTATCCATGAATCATCTAAACAACTTATCTTGGTTTCAGAGACTTATTTACTTCAGTAATACAGGCGGTTTTGACTGGGTACATTTTCTCTTGAAATGCAAAGGCTCTGGAAATAGTGCCAGCAGATACCCGATCACACTGGTAGGCCAGCAATCTGCAAGCATTTTGCATAACAGTGACAGTTCCGTTTGAAATTCATTTCTTCTTGCTCTATAAATAGCCTTCACAGTCTCCCAAAAAGGAAGAAACGGGTGCACTGCCAACCATTCTGCTTCTTTAAAGGTAGGCGAGGCTGTTTTCACACATCATATTCACAACAACCTTTCCCAGAAGTAAGCTCCCGGAGCCCTTTTTCAAGATGCTTTCCATAAACGTGCGGGGTGCAGAGCCCTGTCTGTGCCTGGGGCAACAGCTTTCGAAAAGGAGAACAAATAAGTCACAAGTGCTGAGGTCATGAGCCTTGTCTGGGAGCACGTGTTTACTATCATAAATTGGAAAAGAAAGGGAATGCTTGGGGGTTGTTTTTATTCTTTATTATTGTTGTTGGATTCATTGTCTCAGTCTGTTATCTATTTAAACACAAAGAAAGCTTGGCAGTAGAACAAACAAAGCTTATGAAGTCCATATAAAGCCACAAAGATCAAAATACTCCAGATTGCTTTTTTTTTTCTCCCGGTCCCTCCCCGTCTCATGTTGAAATGGAAAGAAGAAAAAAAAACAACCCAAATGTTAAAAGCCCCTAAATAAAAACAAACCGAAAAAGGCTGGGTGCTCTGCAAGGCATTAGCTTTGTTTTCCAACAGGTGCTTTTCATATTCAGAGCGATTTCAGGGGGGGTGGCAGGGCAGCAATAGGAAAGGACCAAAACAGTGGTGAAATAGAAATTGTTTTCTGTACTCCAGGTTGAAATTCGATCTTCGATTTTTAAAAGTGCCTCTTAAATCACAGGTTGAGCTAATTATAGGGGAATGAACTGCAGGTTTCTCATTTAAGACACCTGGACCATGGCTTGAAGTTTCAAGTGAAAAAGAAGCCATGCACAGCTGCTCAGGTTTTTTGTCTAATCATTGGTGCTGTGCAGTAATGCAAAAATGGCTAACCTGTGTGCTATTCTCTCCAGGAGGTAATATGTTGTTAGTATTATTCGAGTCTAAATCAGTTTATTCAGATAGAAATCCAGAGGAAAACATTGTCAGTTTAGGAGGATACAGATCCTAACTTTCACTTTTCCATCTGAATTATGGATGCATTTGTTGTCGCTTTGTAAATGCTGTTGATAAGGAGCTGGTTCCCAGTGACTGAACCCTTCTTCCCTTAGGGAGAAGGTTACTCTGTGACACAGTTTCCCTGTGAGGTCCCTCTGTCCTGGGCTGTCCATGCAGATTGTCTTCATTTCATGGCAGTCTCTTGAGCTCACTCATAAGCAAGATACTGGTGTAATAGGATGCCGCATGCAATACCTAACTTTCCATTTAAAAGAAGCATCCAGTTTCGGAGGCAGAACGTGCACCAGAACTGTTGCTGCTGAAGGATACCTCTGCTGTCTGTAGGAGGATTTTGTGTGGGCCCAAACTTCCTCAGTTAGCGCTCATTGAGGCTGAGGTTTTGTTTGGAGGAACATGCCGACTGATTGGGTTCTCTTTTTTCAGATACCAAGAAGGCAGTTGGAGGTGTTTGCAGCCCCACCTCTCCTACCAGAACTCTGCTAATGTCTAAAAGCAGCAGCCGCCAGCTCAGCAGCTCTCACACTGAATGGGTAAGTGCCTTCCTATCCATTTCTCAGCCCTATTCTCAAGTGAGGTGCACTTTCCTGGCTTCGCTTCCACCTGAATCTGTCACCACTTGGAGCAAAATACTGTGCAGATTCTGCATGCACCTCAGGAGCCTCAGGTCCAGGGTCAAAGGCCTCTTGCTCCCCACAAGTCACGTGGCTGCCAGCCACTGCAATATTTCGCTGAAACCCAACAGGTAGCCATGCCCACAGGTGGGGATTGGGAATTGTGCAACGTGTGCATCCAGAAATACATCTGACAGATCATGGCTGCAGGGCAACCGTTCATTTGCTATGGCCCATGAGACTGAAAACATTCAAGATTTGCTCAGACAACAGGGAAAAAACACCCAAGGCACAGGAAATGCAGCATAGATCTGAGGGTGGGGAAAAAAAGATTTCTGATAAATTTCTAATCCAGAACTGAATGACTGACAACACTGCTTAGTTCATTTACATCATCCATTTTGCAGGCTGAATTTCATCAATTAGATGCAGATGTTCCCTTCCACAGCAAGTGGTATATTCACAGGCTTTTGACAGAGGCATGCAAACAATTTGGCACGTTTTAGACTTTGCAAATTATAGGTTGTTGTTTGTTTTTTTATAAACAACAGTTTTTACACCAATTAGGCCAATTATGAGTAGGGTGGAGATTTATTTATTTTTTCTTTTTTTTTTAGTCTGCTAATAAGACAACTCCTTGAGAGTGTTGATGAGAGGCACAGCAAAATTCTGTGGGCTCAGAAGGGATCTCTTCAGAAGCACGGTGCTTTTGGAAGGCAGCAAGGGTTGCAGTTTCCAAGCACACAAAGGAGTGGGATTGGGAATTACTACTGTACTGAGATGTGAAATACAGTGACTATCTATAGGAAATTGCAAGGTATGAGGAAAGGCTGGGTGTTCACCAGGCAGCAGGGGCCATGTACATGGCAGGTGGCCCACAGGAGTCTTCAGGAGTCGTGGGTATTGGTCTCGCCCAGTCACTGGAAGCAGGCAGGGCTGAGTTTTTAGGCTTGTCTGGACTGCCTCCAAAAATGGATTGCTTCTAGCATGAGATGGGAGGCTGGAGGGAAGGTGTTGCATGTAGTTGGTAAGAGGAGGTGTCATGGTGTGTGGTTTGTCTTGTAAAGATGGAAGCCCTGTTGAAGAGGAGACAAAGTGATGGAATGTGCTGGCTAGGGAAACCCTCAGACTATTTGTGTTCATAGCTTTTGCTGCAGCCCAAAGAATGCAGTACTGATACTGCAGTACTGACCTTCATTCATGTTAATGCTGGCATGAGGAATTGCTGTTTGCAGCACCCTGGAGGTTGCTGTCCTGCCTGTATCCCATGCACAGTCCCAAAGGCATTTTTCTTTTGAAGTGTTTGTTTCAAAGAAGAGAAAGGAGGACATCCTGTTTTGATGTTTGTCATTCCTCTGCCGGCACAATCTCTGATTCTCTGCCTTGGGTGCTGCCCAATGTAGTTTGTTTTCTTTTACAGCGTAGTCACCCAAGGAATATCAAGCTGTCTTACTGTGCATGCAGAGCCAGAGTGAAAGCCTCAGCAGAGCAAGCTGGAGGCATACAGTAGAGCCACTCCATTTCCAAGACATTCTCAGGGGCCAACCCCCATACTTAACAGGGACACCCAGTTGCAGGCACGCAGGGAAAAGATGTGCAAAGATCATAACCTACTTCTCTCTCATTCATGCATTATGCACGTCTCGATTTCTGTGCATTTCTCACATGTATTTCCAGTTTTAGGCAGACTTAAAAATGTCACTTCCACTTCTCTTTAGAAATGCCAGAGAAGGAATAATCAGCTACATCTCAAGCTGACTGAAAGTTTAAAAGCTGCTGCATTTATTAGTGTTTTCAGGAACAGATGTGATTATCTCCTTATCCAAGTTAAAGGGCTTTTTGGTCTTTGCTTAAAGGGTGCACTAGAAAGATTTAATATTAGTGTAATGAGAGAAGATGGGGATAGAAGCTGTTTATGCAGACCTTAGGCATCACTCTTGAGTCAGAACGTTTGGTTACGATCCTGTGCTTATGACCAAAAGAGCCTTTTATGTTTCATCTTTTCTTGCAAAATGCGTCCACTAAATAAATGATACTTTTTGATTTTGATTACTGGGGAGGTAGCAAAAAGAGAACTCCTCCAGGTAGATTTTTTGCTTTGTTTCAAAAAGCCAATCCCCTGCGGCCACTTGGTGCCAAAACAGGACTCCAGGAAGCATATGGCCCTTCTACAGAAGCCTTATCTTGTCAGCCTCCAGCTGACTCTACAGCAACCATAGAGATATGCAATTAGCTTTGGACAGAGATGGATTGGTCTTAGAATCCAAGATTGTTCAGTCTGGGTGACTAAATTTAGCCATCTGAACTCACCGTGTATCAGTGGAGTGGAAAGCCGGCAAGCTTTATTTAGGATCCCTCAGCCTCCAAAATTAAATACATCTTATGTCCACACATGCACACACATGTGTGTTTCTTTCAAAGAGCTGGCAACACTTTAGCACTACTTCACCAGCTCCTTCACATTTTATTCTGCCCCAGGGACCTCTTTAAAACCCTGGATCCACCAATCTCTGCAAGTGCCTGTAACGTGCAGAGGGAGGTGAGGAATCTCGGTTACTTCCCCCTCCAAACACAGGAGGTTCATTTTGAGTTAAATATCACTGGGACTCACTGGGGTGACTGAACAGAGCCCCCCACGTGGGATGTAACACCAAGCGACCTGACCTTTTGGCACAGCAGGAAGAAAATGCTGAACTTCAGACTTTAGAAAGAAAAAAGAAATAAAGAGGGAAGGAGGGGAAGTGGCCGTTCCCTTCTTCGAGCTTAAGGGAGGAAGCAAAATATAGACAAGCCTTTACTTGCTGACGTGGCTGGAAATAGCTGCAAACTACCAGAAATACAATTCTTGTGGTTCCCAGCAGAAGGCCCAAGTTCTGCTCTCACAGTGTTTCCAAGTTACAGCAGTCTGAGCGTTTTGGATGCTCATCAAATACAGGATCTAAGGAAAGACAATCCCAAGAGTAAGATACAAAACTCCAGTCTGTTGGTTTAAGTGACCACATTTACTTCGCTAGCTGACTGATCCAGAGATCAAAGTTGGTTGAGATTTTTTTTTTCCAGCTGGAAGAGAAAGTTAATCAGAGGCTTTATAAAATTAGCACTCTACTTAATTTTGCATTTTCAGGTCACCTCTTCATGAAAGGTTTATTTTCTTTCATTAGAATGAACTAGATACAGCAGCAGCAAATCTAATCTATTTTTTCACTTGGCAGCATAAGAATTTGTGGAAATGCCTTGAAATTGCTGTCCTCTCCACTAAATTGCCTTTGCTCCTCAAAGCATGAGGCAGCAGCAAAAGGAGAATCCCATTCTGTACTACGGAAATTCCTCAAGCATCTTTGGATGCTTGAAAGTAGAATGTCTGGTGGTGGAAGGTCAGGACATGGGACTGACAAAAACTGCAAACAGCTTGCTTAGAATTAAGGAGAGGTTTCCAGGGACCTTTTTCCAGTTCTTAACTATGATTTTTTTTCAGACTGATCCTCTAAAGAATTCTTAATTTGGAGAGTATTCCCTCTGCTGAGGGGTCTCCTTTCCCTCCCCATCCCAACACAAATCCATACAGCAGCACCTCCAGCCAGCGTTCTTGCCCTGTGCCCTGGGGAAGCTTACAGCAACGAGCACTGTACAGGACTTGAGAGTAGGACCCTGAAACCACACCGAACACACATTTGCTTTGAATTCAATTACAGAATCAAAGCAGCCATCCTTATGTTTTCAAACAAGGGTCCAGGATTTATTGAAATGAGCACAACCTGCAGGATTTAAGCAAAACCAAGGCTACATTTTTTAACAGATGCTCTGTTATTTCAGTAGTGGGTAGCAGCAGTTCCACCACATGGATGTGATTATGGATGTGACATTTCCACTCTGCAAATCCCATTTCCAGGAAAGAACCCATCTTGTCTTACATTCCTACTTGGCACACATCAGCCGGTTTTGCAGGGCCCTGTTTTCATGCCTATCACCACATTTTCTATTGTTCTTACTGGTTCACAGGACATTTGAAAAGAACCAATGCGCAGGTAGGAAGGGAAGGGGACTGTAAAAGCCTGAAGGTGCAGGAGGTGAGGGAAAGAAAAGTATTGCCACTGGAGCAGAGGAGCAAAGCAGGAATGCGGTGCTGCAATTAGAGCAAAGAATGCAATGTCTGAACAAGGCTTCAGGAGCTGGAGGCCCAACTGTGCCTCCCACTGTAGGCATGCTGTTTTCTCTTATTCCTCCCATATGTGAGTTTGCTGCAGCTGAGCCCTGAAAATCTGAAAAAGCCTGCTGGGAAGGTGCTGCTTTATTTCACATTCTCTTGGCTTTGTGGAAAAGAAGTCGGCGAGGTTGCAAATGTTTGTGTAATCTTGGAGAAAGGCAGGTAGGCTCTGTCAGAACCGAAAGCGTGATGGGGCTGGGGTATCCTCACCTGCTGGCAGGTGTCAGCAGCCAGCTCTCAGCACCTGCCTGGGGATGCAGCTTCTCCTGCAGCACAGTGCAGAACTGCTAGGCAAGCCATTGCCACAACAAATGTCTGTGAGTCAAAGCAGCTGCAGAGTAAGTGGCAGGAGAAGGTCAGCGATCTCATTAGAGCCAGGAGGCCCAGGCCCTCAGCACAGTAAGGTCCCGACTTCACAGCTGCAGCGTATTTTGATACCTGGCCTCCGACAGATTGCATAACTGCGCCATGAGGTCACCATCCTTCCTACTTGAGCCTCTCTGAGACTGGGAGGTGGGAGAAAGGAAAATCACAAAAAAAGAACCAACCAACAAACATGGGCACTCAGGCAACCACCAGACACAGCGATGCATTCCAGTTTCTGTGGAGAACAACAGACCTCATTTGACTCCGGAGATGCAATGCCTTTTGCTGCTCACAAAAAAATGCTTGTTCCCAGAGATAAAAACAGGGGCTGTTTCCTGAACAATCACCC